GACAGAGCCCCCCCCCCCCTTCCCCCCTCTTCCTCAGGGCTGCTCCCCAAAGCCTGGCACGGCGGTGAGAGGCCGTGCAGGGGCACCCACCTCAACCCCCTGCCCTGCCCTAGGCCACGCGTTTAGCTTTATTCCCCCATCTTAAAAGCCCTTAAACCCTTCCCTAAACATTGCCTGCAGCTTGGCTTTGCTGGACCTTGCTTCTGCTAAACCACATCGTGCTTTTTTTTTTCCTTTCTATTTTTATTTCCCCTCTCTCCACGCTGCGATTTTCATGGCAGGCTTGTACTGAATAGCACAACTGTTTTAGAGTCTAAACCAGCTGAGAATATTTATACTCCTGGTTTGCAAGAGCTCAGCCCTCCCTTCCAGGCCTTTTCTCCCCGCTGCTGTTATTGTTTGGCCAGCTTTTATTGCATTAAAAAAATAAAATCAAATCAAATTTGGACTCTGAGGAGAGCTGCCAAGTACAAGGATCCTGGAAAGGAAAAAAAAAAAAAAAAAAGGAAGAAGAATGAGCAACAAAGGGAAGCGGCTTGGAAAGGCCTCGGAGTCCACGGAGGGAACCCACCACCCAAGACAAGATAAGGAAAGGAGCCTGAAAGCCTCAGGAGCGCGTCCTAGAGCAGGGAACCCCAGGGCAGAGCCCCCCCAGCAGCACACCAGCACCCCTTCAGCCCACTGGGGCGGCTACATGGGGAATCGACCCCTCCGCCCTCCACCGGTAAAGCCTGGAGGGAGCTCGTCTTAAACATCAACGTAAATTTGAAAAGCCTAAAAGCAGTTTTAGTCCCCCTTTAAGCCAAGCTTAGGATGCTTTGTGGGGCAGGCTCTGGGCTGCCCCCGGCCAGGAAGGAGCGAGCAGGGAAGCGCTTCATTTTCAAAAGTCCTCGATTATTTCGGAATCGATTTTATCGAGTGAAAGTCGCTGTTGGTAGAGAGACGCTTGGTCAAGGAGTGGGGGGGTGGAAATCCAATTGAAAGGGGGTTCTGTCGCTGGGGGAAGGGGGTATTTTGGAACTTCAGCTCGATTCAGAAGCCGCAACTTTCGCTTCACACAACCACTTCTTTTTTCCTTCCCTGTCATAAAAGGTAGAGTCCCTGTGAATGGAGCCGAGTAAATACACTAAAAAAGAGAGGGGGAGGAAAGGATCAGAGTCATCCCAGGCAGCAAACGGGGCAGATACCCCCTCTCCACCTCCCCTGACATTTTTGGGTTTGTTTCATGCAAAAGAAGCACCCGTTTCGGGGGTTTCTTTTATTTTTTTCAAGCCCCCAGTTCAAAGGGTCGGAAACGCGGCCATAAACAGCGGCTTCACCCTCCGAGGTGCCGTGATCAAAGCCGTTTTCTTTCTAAAGATAAAATGAACGTTTATATAGTGAGAAAGCGAGATTGATTTACGGATTTAAACACGCCGTTCTTATTGCGAATCATAAATCTGTCACTGGGGCTGAGAAACTCCCAACCCGCTCGCCGAGCCTTTAAAGCTACCCAGAGCTATAGAGGGGGCATACTATCACCCACCACCACCTATATACGAATAGACCCCCCCTATCCTTGCTTATCTAGACAGATATATACATATATATTTATTTCTACGTCCTCTATACCCTTTCTGTCCAGTAACTACTCAGTGGGATGAGTTATATCATTTTCTCACCCTTTTTTGTCTAATTTTGCGACTAAGGGGTAACAAAGGGGCTCAACTCTGGCCGAACCGGTGCTGGGAGAAGGAAATGGGGGTCCCAGCTCGGTGGGGAGGGAGGGGGGGGGGGAAAGAGGTCCCCGAGTGTCCCCCCCGCCCCGGGTGGGATCCCCCATCACAGCTCCGCGCTGCTCCGCGCAGGCAGCTGGGCACAGAGAGGCTTTTGAGAGCGCCGTGGGCAGGAGCGAAGTGGGAGGAGGTGCGGGGGGAAAGCGGGGGGGGGGCTCTCAAACAAAGGAATTTCTGAAAATAAGAAGCGAGATGAGACGCAGGAACGGGCGGGGGGCTCCGCTCCTGCACTGCGAGGTTGGGGTTATTTCTCCCCCCCCTCCGAGTCTGGGGGGTAAAACAGGGCTCTGCTCGCCGAGCCAACGCTGCGCGGATGCTCTGCGCCTTCCCTCTCTTTTCTCACACCGAAGCAACACGCCAAGACAGAGGGCTTTGAAGTGAAATCAGAGGGGAAAGCGTCTGTCGGGCCCGGGCTGGGCAGCAGAACCATTAAACCGTGAGAAAGCAGAAATAACCCCACTTCTAAGACCCTTCTTCATTCCTTTCTCTCACACCCCCCCCCCCCCCCCCCCCCCCGCCTCCCGGGGCTGGTTCCCGGCTTCCACGGCCCGAGGCCGCGGTGAGGGCCAGGCCGGCGGGACCTCGCACACGCAAAGTTTTGCTGCGCTGCGGGCTCAGCACAATGTCCAGCCTCGGGGAGGTCAAGGGGTTTGCGAGGTCATTCCCTGGCTATAATACACAGCTAATCGCCTAGAAAACGTGTCCTCTGCGTGAACTCTCTTCCCCCGATCGGGGCTTGCCAGAGCTGAAGTTTGTCTCCCCAGTTTTCAGCCTTTTCCTTCACTACGGTATTCCCACACCGCTCCCGGGACGGGGCAGGAACCAGCACCAACGGGACCCCGGCAGTACCGGGACAAAGACATCCCCAGGAACCCCCACACTCTGGGGCACCCAGGCCCCCCGGGACACCCGCACCAGGGATCCCTGCACCCCGAAACCCCTCAAACCCTCCCCACACCCGTCGGTAACGGGCGGAAGATGTTGCTCAGGGGAAAAAAAATAATTGTAAAAGGGAAAAAGGTGGAAAAGGGATTTAAAAACAGGAAAGAGAGAGGCTTCCCCCCCAGAACTCCCCCCCTAGAGCCTCGCCAGTGACCCCGCAGAGAAGCTCCACGGGGCCGATCCCGCACACGCAACAGCCCCGAATCGAAGAGAAACACACAAACCCCCCTCACCACGAATAACCCGCCTGGAAACTCTCTCTGCCGCTTGCCTCGCTTACACCGGCCAAAACAAAACGAGAAAGCAGAAGGGAAAGCCCGCACAAGCATTCACGAGTTGTTTTGCTTTCTGCCATTTTTCCTTTTTGAGCTCCTTTTTTCCCCCTTTTTTCCTCCTGCTTCCCCAGGTTTCTGCTGGAAGAGGCAACAAACAGACCCGAAACGCATGCCAAGAGAGCAGCTCTGTTACCTGGTTCGCTCCCACATCCTTTTTCCAACGCCCCAGAGACGGCCCTCATGGTTTGGGTGGTTTCTTCCAAAGTGAGAGGTCTGGGGGAAGGGGATCCCTTTGAGAGGGGGGTGTTTTGCTTTTGTTTTTCTCCCCCAAAAATAAAGCTTTCACCTTTACGATCCAGATTTTATTATTAATAAGATTATTTCCCCTGAAGATTCTTGTAGAACTCCGGGTGCTTTTTTCCCAACAGACGGTCTGCGGAGATTTGCTGTTGAATAACAATGGGAAAAGGATAAGTATTTAAAGAAAAGAAGTGATTAATGATTTTCTGTATAATTCTCGCATTTTTCTTAGCTTCTGTCTGCTTCTAATGGCTGTGAACTTTTAGGTCCTATAGAAATCTTCTTTTCTCCCCCTTCTATTCTATTCATACTTTCCAGCTTTGATTTGCTTCTATAGACCCCGCATTCCTGGAAGCATATGCCTTTTTCTTTTTAAAAATAGAACGATTTTTTTGCCATTCTTAGGAGCCCTATCTCGAAAATAACACCCTCTTTACAACCCCCGCACATCAAAGAGAGAAACAGGAAAATAAAATGCAACAACACCCCCACAACACCCCAACCTCAGGCATTGCAATAAAATACAGCCCTTGCCACCCGCCCTGGGAAAAAAAGAAGGGTTGAAATAGAAACTTAAAAGGTTTGTAGTTGCTGCTGCTAAACCCGCTATAGTTAACCAAAAATACAGCCATAAATCCATTTCTCCTACATCACAGCTGTGCCATGTGACTACATTAATATTATTTTAAAGTATGAAAATGTCAATAGAAAGAAAAATCGAGCGGCCTTTGTTCGAGCTGGGGGCAGGGACACTTGGGGGGGGGGGGACGGACGACACTTTATTTGCGCTGTGGCCGTGCGGTGACTTACTACAACTCAAGGAATAACCCATCCACACACCCTGGCTTGGAAATATTTCAAGCCTTGCCTTTGTTTGGGAAGAAATGCAGGGGGAATATTTCGGTCCTGATGGGGGGTCCGGGAGAATTCCACGAACATTGAACAAATAAGCAAAAGTCATTTTTGCCTGGAGAGGAGAGTATAAGAAAATGATCCTTTTCTTCAGCTGGTGCCACGGATTCCACCCCTGACAGACCCCCCTGAGCACAATAGTCCAGTTTTTATATATTTGGAACTTAGGACTGGAATGTTATTTCGTCCTGAACCGTATTTTCGATACTTTCTATGAGGAAGAAAATGAAAATTAATACAAGAGCTGCGGCTCACAAAAGGAGCCATTTGTCTTCTTGATTATCTATTTGCTTGTCAGGCTCTGAGCTATCGCAGGAGCCAGCTCCTTTGTAATATCAGAACACACAGAAAACCTGCAAACACCGAGAAACATCTGTGCAAAAATTAGACTCATTAATGCATTAACTACCTCGGAGAAGGAGATTTGGGGTCTTTTTTTAAACTCGAGAAGTCTCTCTAGAGAAATCCATCGCTCCATCCATTCCTCACAGCAAAGCAAAGCGCTAATGACTCGCTCTGTTTTGGCTGAGCCCAGTTTGGGAAGAGCATATTAATATATGCTTAGAACAAATAAATCATAATATGTACGGCTTAGCAGTACTTAAGGCTGATATACCCTAGTCAAATATCTTTTGTTTTCATTAGGGACTTGAGGCTGTGCCACTGACACCAGAAATGCCTGTAAAAAACAAACGTGCTCTTTAATTCATTCCTTGAAAATAGGTATTTTTTTGATCCTCACCAGAATAAAAAGTCAGCACCCCCCTCCCCACAATAGAAACCACGCAGGGGCAGGTTCACAATGAACAGATTTATTTCCAATTGCGCTTTTTGTTTCTGCTGTTGTTTCTTTTCTCTGCTCATTACAGGTAATCCTAGACAGCAAGAAGGACAAAGGGAGTAGAGGAAGGGTATCGACGGGGGGGGGGTAGGGGGGCTTGCCAAAGCTCTGGTTCACCCCAGAGGGACAAACCCTCACCCCTCCATCCCGAATTCACATTTTCAGTACAAAACTGGGCGCCACAGCAGGAGAGGGGGGCTCCCCCCTCCTCACCCTGGCCTGTGGGGGTGAATCCAGGTGCCACAGTTCATCACCCTGTTCCTAAACTACCCCACCTTCCCTTCCCAGAATCACTATTAACATACTGGAAATAAAATAGCGGGGGGGTGGTGGTGTCTGCAGCACTCCCTATCCTCCTGCTTTCTTTGTCCACCACCCATTTGACCTAGTTATCCCTTCCTCCCCCCCCGCCCCCAGGGTATTCCCCCACTTCCACTCAGGACCAGCGCAGTGTCCTGGAGCAACACCACCACCCCCTCCTCACACCCCTGTGGATTTGGATTTTGTTTGTTGCGTTTTCCCCACTCCATGGCAGGGCCGTGTTAGAATCGCCGCGTCTTTGGGATGGCGGGATAGAAACTTCCCGTTCGTGGCTGGCAGGCGAGAAGGGAAAAAGAAGAGGGGGGGAAAAAAGGGGGTGGGTGGAGGTGGAGGGGGGAGAAAATCCAGTTCGTCTTGAAGAAACTGAGCCTCATTTATTAAAGTGAGCGCTGGTTGTCGAGGTAATAGCAGACATAAGGTCCATCCTTTGTACGGGAGAGTAAACATGACAAATGGGGCAGAGCTTGGCGTGATTAAAGATGAAACAAGGATCCATCTTAGCCAAATCTGAAAACTACTATCTACAGCCTCCTCTTAATGGAAGAGGCACAACAGCCCAGCTCTGCTTTGTTGCAGCTGGGTCTCCCTGTTTCCCCTATAAATAAAGAGCACCCCTCCTTCCCTTGCTTCTCGGAGCATTAAAAACAAAGTACCATGTGTTCCCTACACACACACAAACTCACAAACACGCACACTCCATCCATCCATCCATCTATCCATCCATCCATCCATGCATCCAAGGAATAGTTATAGGCTGGTGGCTGGTCCATGGGATCGGTTTTGAGATCCTCCTTGTGGGATCTGCAGGCTGGCAGAGGAGCTGGAAGAATTAGACCTGATCTTGGTATTTGGTAACTTGTGATCTTTTTTCCATTTCATCCTCCTGTTCTGGAACCAGATTTTGATCTGGCGCTCGGAGAGGCAGAGGGAATGGGCGATCTCGACCCTGCGCCTCCGGGTGAGATAACGGTTATAGTGAAATTCCTTCTCCAGCTCCAGGACTTGCTGCCTGGTGTAGGCTGTACGGGAGCGTTTCGGTTCCCCTCCTGAGTAATTGGGGTTTACTGAACAAACAAAGGAGGAAAAAGAAAAAGGAGAAGAAGAAAGAAAAAAAAAAAAAAAGGAAGAAAAAAAAACAAAACAAAGAGCAGAAGAATTACCGAGCTGTTCCTTTCACGGGTCCTTTCCCCCCAAAAAAGCATCGCACATTCTTTTGGTGGGGGGATACACTCAAAAAACACACACCACAAACCTGCTAAAAATACACCCAGAACCTATCTGCAAATCTCCACCTCCATCCTCGCTGCTTGACGTGTATTCCTGTCTAAACGTTTTTATAAGGTCCCCTAGACACATTTTCCATGCCCTCTACGTGTGTATATACACACACACGTATATATATACGCACACCTCTACTTGAGCATCACTGTATTATACCCAAATCTTTAAAGATCCCCCTGCACACGTGCAAGCAGGCAAACGCAGACACTCCTTGTTATTAAATATCACACACCAAAAAAAAAAAAAAAAGAAAGAAAAAAAAGAAAAAAAAAGGGGGAGGGATAGTAAAAGTTTACTCAACCCGCCACTTAAATACAAATTACGAAAACATAAAACTTAACTTATGAAGATTCAACAGCCATAAAAAAAAGTAGCCTGCAAGAAATTGGAGGAGGATGGTAACAGAGACTTCAAAGGCACATGGCCAAGCAGAGCAATAAAAATTTATGGAGGATGTAATTATACCGCTCTGCAAACAGGCGATCGTAAATCTCCGCGAATGGTTATTTTACAACTGGTGCAATAGGATTTCTACAAGACTTTGAGGTGCTACTCGGTATAAAGCGAAGCGCTTCGGCTCACTTACCCGTGCTTACATGGACTTTCTTCATCCAGGGGTAGACCACCGGCTCCTTGCAGGGGGGGGCGGGCGGGTTCCGGGGGTCCTGGCTGCAGGAGGGCGGCGGGCTGGGGGTGCCCGGCTGGCGGGGGGGGCCCGCCGCGGGGAGGTGGCCCCGCAAGCCGGGTGGAGGACGGCCGTGACCCCGGGGGGACGGCAGCGCTGCTGGGCGGCCGGCGCTGGGACAGGAGGAGTAGAGCTGCTCCTCGCAGGCTGACCGCGGCGGGTACATCGCGTCATGGTGGAAAGTGCCCTCTCGCCTCTGGCTGCCGTAATATTCCGGCGAGTGACTGGGAAGGTAATCGCTGTGGGAATACTCTTCACAGGGTGGGAACTTGGGGTCCACATAGTTGGAGTTGATCAAAAACGAGCTCATGGCCATTAATTTCTTAGAATTGCACACACGGAAAAAAAAAATATATATATCTATCTCTCCTAAAATTTATCCCCGTCCCCCCCTTTACTCGTTTTCCTGTTTCGCGGAACCCTCCTACTTACTGTCAAGTGAACAAAGTTGAGTCCATGTGACAGCGCGGGCCAATGGCGAGGGGCCCCGCGGTCCCCGGATAAGGAAACCTGCCCAGCCCGGGCTCTCCCGGGGCCCTGAGCACCCCCGGGAGGCGACCGGGGGCTCCCGCTCCCCCCCCCAGCCCCGACCCCGGCCTTGTCGGCCCCGAGCCCCGCAGAGCCTCGCGGGCGAGGACTGGCCCCCACCCCTCCGGGGGTGTGTCCTTGGCTCGGGGCGGGGGGGGAGTGTGGGAGAAGGAGGAGGGGTGGGAAAAAATAAATGCATCCCCCCCCCCCCCAGCAAAACCAGATTTCATTAAAATAGAAGTAAAAAATGATTTCTGCGGGGCTCGGGGCTCGCCGCTAGTGCCCCCGTACACGCTCTGCAGAGGTCCCCGCGGGCGGGGGTTACAGCTCATCCCCCCGCCAAGGTGATGCGGGAAGGGACGAGCCTGGCAGAGATGAATAGGGCTCGTTGGGGATCGATAAGGAATTCATCAGCTAATTCGGGGTGCCCGGTGTCCTAAATCACATTTCTGAGATTGACCGTTTTCCCACGCACCGGTGGTAAAGGGAGCCCATCCTCCGAGCAGGGAATCAGGGACTTGATGAACAATTACAAAAGCGAATTAGCCCAAGTCCTAATGCATCTTCCGCTCGCCCTTCTGGTAATAAAGACGCTTTAAAAGCCAGAGCAAACCAGCAGCCTTTCAAAAGCCACCACCCCACAAAGCCGGGTTTAAACCCGAAACGCGCAATAAGCTCCTCGCAAGCAGTAATGTATGTGTGTGTATATATATATATATGTTAGTTTTGTTGGTGTCAGTGCTGAGATTACACAACCTAAAGCAATAGTGGGCTCCTAGTTCTTAAATGGCAGCAATAACGCCCCTTCCTCCCCCTTCTTCCCCCAACCTCCCCTCAAGCACAGATTTTATCTCGAAGTGATGATAAAGTTTATCGCAGGAGCGCTGGAGTTGAGCTAAGGTCAAATCCAAAGTATTTCTTTTCAGCCAGAAAACGGTTTTCTGGTGAAGATCTTGGTTTCACCCTTTTATTTAAGGTTGTGGGGTGTGGGTGGCTCTCTTTTTTTTGGGGGGGGGGGGAGGGAGTGGTGGTTTGTTTTTAGTGCCTTCTGGGTGTGTGACCTGTAGTGTTTGTGTCAACTACATATTCCCCTAGATACGAATTTGTGACCCAACTTCCTTTACACAAATTCGGATCTACAGGGTACATATAGAAGACAGATGCATCCTCCTTGGTCAGAGATCTTCGCCTACCGCCATAATTATCTTCTGGGGAGGGAGGGCAGAGTTTTGGGACTCGAGAGATCAGGAATTAATCTATAGGTAAAGATGGTTCAAAGATTTCACTCTTCAGAGGAAAGACGATTAATTAAAGCACCAACACAGCATCCGAATAGCCAATACTAGGAGAGAAAACCTGGAACTTTCCTACCCTCTCCTCCATCCCTTGCACGTTAATTTACCGCTCTGCTAAAAAATCATCTCCTGAATATATATATAGAGAGAGATGCATAAAGAGCTTCGAATCCAAATAATCGCCGTTTAAAAGCAAAACGCCACTGCCCAGTCCCCTCCACCCTGAAACGCGCGGAATGAGTTTCTGATACGCAGTGCAGAGATTTAATCCATTTTTCGTTCTTGGAGGTCAACTAAGGTTTGGGTTTATACGTGCATGTAAGGATAAATTATATATATAGACATAAGCAAGAAGCAGATGAAAAGAAATACAGAATGTAAAGGCAGATGGGACGACAGGCGCTTTTTTTTTATGACAGGCAATTCTTTTTACAACCCGAGAAAAAGATCAAAGGCGTTTCATTTCCGAAAAAGGGATATAAAGCAATAAAATATTCATCCTGTCTAGGTAATGAACCTTCATTCGGAACTAATGAGGGTAGCATCATGTTGAGATTTCGTTTAAAATTACAGTTGCCCAAGAGATTAAAAGTACAACATCCCCCCCCCCCTCCTTTTTCCCCCTATTCTTTTTTTATTTGTATTTCAAAAGGCAGAACCTTTTTGGTCAAGTATCTCCCGAATTAATTGCATTTAAATGCCACAGCAAAGAGGCTCTGAGAGAAAAGCTGCATTTCCCCTCCATTAAAATTCCTGCAAAACATCCTCAATATATTTCACAAATTCCTTCATTTTTTTCCTAATAAAAAGAGCCGTGGCCAAGCACGAATGTCCCTGGGCTTTCCCGGACACACGATGTCCGCAGATTTTTCGGATACTTTAACGCGAATAGTCGGTTTTCCTGATAAAACATATAATTCGCAGAGAAACTGAAAAAGGACGGCATATTTTAAGCAATAAGCCCAAATGCACCTGGGGCAACCCCCAGACCATTTTACACGCCAAAACAAGCCCCCAGATTCCCAACCAAAGTCGCAGAGTGAAGCAAAGCCGCTTTTTGCATGGAGCAGATTTCCCCCCTCCACAGACCTATACCGGGGAGCAGCAGCCACTCTAAAATTCACCTTCCCCTTTAAACCCTGCCATCAAAGTAAGGAGCCAAATAAAATCCGCTTGTACAACGTGCAGCTGGATGCCATGAAATAATTCCACAGAACCAATCCTATCAGAGTTCCTTTTTTTTTTTTTTTTAATTATTATTAACTGAAATGTTATTCCTCCTTTCCAATCCTCTCTCTGATTTATTTTATTGGATTTCCTCGCAGCCTGTTCCTAACCGAGGAGAGGAGTTTCAATAGCCATAACTAAGGCCTATTCCTGATTTTTATCTCCCTCCCACATTCTTAGCGGAAAAAAATAGGAAAGAGAAAGGTTTAATGCTCCTTCCCGGTGGCACGCAGGGGTCGGTGCCAGCAAACCAGCACCCCTAGCGTTTACCAGCCACCTTCCCCCCAAACACCTCCAAGAACTCTCCCCTCGCTGCCTCCGATCCCAAATTAAAGGCAGCCCCTCGGTGCCCCCCTCCCAGCCCCCTTCTTCACAGCTTTCTCTATCAAACCGCCCCACGCCGCATATTTCCCACAGCAAATTCCACCCGGGCTCTTTTCCACACCAAAGTAACCTCAGGCAGGAAGGAAAGGGGTGTCTCCCGGATCCCCCGACCTGTGTCCACCGCCAAGGGGTGGCCAGGGGAGCCCTCGACCCTCTCCAAAACCCTCCCAAAGGCACCTGCCAGCTCAGGGAGGGGGGTTGTTATCCCATTCTTCATGCTGAGCGCATATGTGGTTCCCCCAAAAGAGGCAGCACTCGGTGGGGAGGGTACTCCCTGCTTAGTGCCCCCCCCCACCTCCGAAGCCTGGCCCACCGCCCAGGTGTAACACCGACAGCGGTACCTACCTTAGCAAAACGTGGGTCTTTTCCTCGGAGTAATCCCCGAGGGGGCTCCCCCCAAACTTGGGAAGGTTTTGCAGGCGGAATCCTATAGAACCCCCTAAACACCCCCATCCCCCCCCCCGCCCGTTTCCCCTCCCCACCCTAGCCCGTTTTTTCCGCCCTCTCTTCCCAGTGTTGCTTTTACAATGAGATTAATTCTCGATAAGAACACTAATTTCTCTCTCTCCTTCTTCTTCTGCCTTTTTTTAGTGGGTGCCCCCTCCCCCCCTCTCCCCCCAGTATAAACCACTATTGTCCTTTAAGGCGAGCGGAGCTGCTCCCGGCAGCGCCGGGAGGCCCTCTGAGCATTTTGGGGTGGGAAACCCGCAAGTTTTGGTATTAATCTCATAGTTTGTCAGTCTTTGTTAAACAGCGAGGCGTGTCCGCAGCGCGGCGGCCGCCGAGAGCCGCGCTGACCCGCGGTTCACCCCGCGCCGCGCGCCCTCCGCACCGCTCCGCGCTTTCATTTGTAGGGCTTTTATGATTCCCCCCTTCTCCCTGTTATATCCCCCCCTTCCTCTGAAATCTCTCTCTCGGCTTTAGCAGCAATGAAGAAAGGGATATTTTCTTTTCTTTTTGCCTTTTTCCACCCTTTTCCAAGCGCAAACTTTCTTGTATGAAACTGTGTGTGTGTGTATCACCCGCGCACGGAGGGCTAAGGCGCTTCTTTAAAGCAAAACATTTAATAACGACCATCCGAGATGTACAACAGCAGGGAAGGAGGCTGAAGGGTTGGGTAGGAATCGGCCCACACCTGCTTTGCAGCAGGGAAAAGCAGATTTTAGCCCTGCGTGGTTTCCCAGCCTTAGGTGTCCTTTTCATTTCAGATAACAATATTTTAAAACCATATTTTTCCCCTTAAAACCAGCGAGGCAGCGAGGGGGGAGCAGCGCATCCCTGCGGGGATTCACCCTTTATCTCCCTGTTAACACCGCCAGCTCCAAGACCGCGGTAAAGAGGTCATTGGAGAGTAAACCGGGATTAAAAAGCGCATTCAATTGATTGTCCGGTAGAGAAAATAATAACAACTATAAATGTATATCGGGAGAAGGAAAAGTGCCCTGAATAGTGTTTGCAACGCCTGGCCGGTACTCGGAGACTCTCGGGTTAAGCCGAGTCCGTCCCGAGCAAGAGAGATAAATTAGAAATATCCTTGGAAATGGTACCTTTAATTTCCCCCCTCTCCCCTCCCCTATCTCCCTCCCTCCTCACATCTCTCCAAATGAACCCACTTCAAACGAACGCGCGTCCCTAAATGGAAAGTTAAACGTTCTGATGTAGGAGTGAATATTAGAAGGAAAGTTGGGAGGTGGTTTGGGTTGGGTTTTTTTTTCCTTTATTGCCGTGAAATTATACCTGCTTGTTTTAATATCCCGAAAACAAATGGCCTTTATTATCCATTACCTGTTCTATAAACCTGGAGTAGAAATGACTGTTCTAGAGAGATAAGTGCAGTAATTACAAGGGCGAAGAGATGGATCACCCAAGTTACAACTAAACCGGAGCCCTCATATAGTGATATTTTATAAATACCAAGCAAATTCATGGCAATTAATTAAAGCTGAATCTTATCACGCGAAACAAAACGCTTTACGTTCGCTTGAATTTCACCTACTCCATGAATATATCCGCATCGGGAAAGCAAATGGATTTTCCAGAATGCCTTTCCCAGGGCTCTAATATTCTCTCTTTCTCTTCCAAGAAAAATGACCCTTGTTATAAGTATTTAAGCACTGAAAATATTTAAAAGCGGGGGGGGAGTCGCAGGGCAAAAAGGGAAGAGTTTGCATTGCTACGACTGTTTGCTTAAGCAGCTATTGAAAAGATCTTCCCCAGTCCCAGTGCAAATAATATTTAGAGTTTGGAGGGTTCAAAGTCTGGCAGTGTAGAAATAACTTTGAAATGCCAAGGGAAATATTTATTATATCAGTTCATTAAACTGTTGCAGTGACCAGAGTGGAGTCACATTTCAAGCAAGAAATAGAAACCATTTCATTCAAATTCCGGCGGAAAACGTGCTGCAAAACGAAATTAGCTGCTTTCACCGGAGCGAGGGACGAAACGAGCACTTAAAACCGCTTTTAAATACATATATTGGGGGTTTTTAAGCCATCAATCCATTGCTTTTGCCTCTATATCATTATTTCAGATTCTCTACGATTAAGGTAGAAATGCGAACAGTAAATCATGGGCGTTATTTCTTGTCATTCTTTTCTTGTTGTGGATGATTATTTGCATTCCTACCGAGTCCGTATTAAAGATGCTCGGCTCTATGGGGGCCAGGCACCTCTTCGGATTCTGGAACTGGTTCCAAGTAAAGATTTTGGAACCACATTTTCACTAAACTTATCGGGCTTTTGAATTTCTTTTTCTTTTCTTTTTTTTTTTTTTTCATTTTTTCCCCCAAATAAAATTGACGCTAGAATGAAAATTATTTTTTAACTGCTCGCTTTAATATCCTAAAGGGACCTCCTCGTAATTGGGTTGAATAAATGCATTTCCCCTTATATTCTGTTCATTCCACTCCAAATAGCGTTTCAGGGCTCATCTTAAAATAAAACCACTGAGGACTCGCTCGGCGTTTCCTCGCGGGAGACCCAAATCAACCTTCTTTTCCACACACATCCCACCCCAAAATCCCGCAGCTTCTTATCCCCCCTTTCTTCCTTCGCGGCTGAAGGTCGCTCCCACCTCGCTATCATCTTCTCTCATCTCTGCCCAGCAGCAGAGACTCTTCCTCCCACCTCGCCCCCCCCCTTCCCTCTTTCTTTCTCTCTCCCTCTTTTTTTTCCCACTGACATCAGTCTATCAGGGTTATACACAAGACCGAGTCACGCACAGCGTAAACTTTTGACCCTCAACTTTTTGACCCCTCGAGCTATAATGCTGTACTAACAAGCCCCCCAAGACCAGAGTTACCGGCTACGCCTCTAGAAACCAACGCGCTGCTGATTTTCCTATTTTATTTATTTTACTTAGGAAAAAAAAGGGGTAAAAAGATACATTTCTTTGTGATTTTTTTTTCCCTACCCAAGGAAGAACAAAAAAAAATCAGAGCTCTGCAAACATCAGATGTTTCTGTCCACATCACCCATTGCTGCTTTAGACCACTGATTTTATTTTACCCTTTTTGGTCCCCCCACATTTTTACATTTAAAAGAACAAAATGGGGGAAACCCCTCAAGAAATAATAATTTCTTTCTCTTTTATTTGGGATTTCCTCGACGAGGTTTTGACGGCGGTTATTTCCCCTGATCTAATTTTGGGGGTGATTTTTCTTCCTTTTTCGGCAGAAAAAGAGGGTTCCCCTGTTACTTAGGGAAAGCCGGAGGGCTCGAGCAAGGACTGGAGGGCTGCGGGCAGCCGGTCCCACTCTCGCCCCAGCCCGGCCCGGCCCGGCCCGGCCCCGCTGGCAGTGAACTTGGTCTGAAGCGGGCTCTGCTGGCTGCTCGGGGACGTTACAGCCGAGGAAGCCGCATCAAATCCCCCTACCCGGGGCGCCCGTTCCCCTTCTCCATCCCAGCACGACCACCCCCCTCTCCACCCCGGTGTTGCAGAGTCTCCCTACATAAACAGCCCAGATTTGCACCAAACAAACGTCCTTTCCCCCAAATCCCGGCGCTGTAATTTGTTTTGACTTGAAGGGTATATATATGTGTGTGTGTATATAGAGAGACATACATACACATGTTAAAAAGAGATAAATCAAAGCCGGGGAAAAACCTCGTACTAGTCTTATTCTTTCAACGCTCGCTGTCAAAATAGTTTCTTTTTAAAGCTATTTAGGGTAACAGAACACGGAAAAACTATGCCGGGTGGACACCTCCCGAGTTAAGTTATCAACCTCCTTCCAAATATCATTTATTTAACATTAGGAGAGGAAAGAATGGGAAAAATCAGCTCAGACACCGAAATAGCCACACTCTGAAAGAAAATGTCATTCTTAAATCCATTCTAAGACTGGAAAGAAACCCCGGAGGAGGAGCCAAAGCCCATAAAAGTCCTTTTCGGGTTCCCTAATTGAGGAGAGACCTTTAGTAAGAGGGTTTTAAATAATCCCATCAACTCGTTCCCTTCAGGTCGGACGTGTAATAAAAAAAGAGGAAGGGGCTGGGGTAAAGAAAGAGCAAATCCTCATCCTGAAATTCAGCTGTGGGGGAGGGAAAAGGGTTCGGGGAGCGGAGCTGGAGGGAAGAGGGTGGTTTCCTTCGAAAGCTTGGGGGGGGGAACTGGACACACAGGAGTGTGGGCTGGAGTCATTTACAGGACTATGGCAAAGAAATAGGTGAATAATCAGAGTCTTCTTCTGAATAGAGTGAACCACAAGAGTTACAGCCTGAGCAGTGCGATTTCTAGTCGCTGCCTCTCTGCCAAGGCAGGAGGGACCCGCCGCCTCCCAACTTTCATTTCTGGGGCCAGAAACAAACAGAACAAGGAGATCCCTTTGGCTTAAATACCACATTGCTGGTGTGTGTCTGTAGTGGAGCAATATGAACCACATCCAGTCCTTCTCCAGCCCTCCCCCTCGGTTACGGCCAGTGCCCAGCACACCCGCGCAGTGGGATGGGTACATTAAAAGGAAAAAAAAAAAAAAGGAAAAAAAGGAAAAAAAGAAGGGGTAGAAAATGGGAAAAAAAAATAAGGAAAAAAAAGGAGGAAGAAGAAAAGAAATAAAGAAGGAAAGAAATAAAGAAAAACCCCTGGAGCTTATGTTTTCCTTGCAAAGGTGCCCCGGCAGCCCCCGGGGCCCGCTCTGTGTTGTGATACGATGCTCACCCTCTCCTCCAAGAGAGGAGCCGGGGCTGTACAAGTCTGCTGACCTCGGAATGATCCCTCTTGCCTATGAATTATTGATGAGATATGAGCTCTGATTTCTCTTTTCAGTATGCAAACCCCATTATACTGTTAAAATGGCGATTTAATCGTTTAGAATAGCTTCGCTTTTTTTTTTCCCAACTCATTTGTGCCCCTTCCTTTTCATTTAATTCTCTTAATTAAATCCTTTAACAGATTTTAATCACTTTTTGTTGAATAAAATAAGGCATCATACACATCTGTAACTAGGTTACCTTGGCGAAGTTTGTTTTTGGTGGGGTTTCTTTGTTTTGGGGTTGTTTTTAGTTTGCTCTGCTTGCTCCTTTGGGTGAGGTTTTTAAAACCTAAGTGAGAGGGAATTTTCTGTTACCCTGAACCCGGTGAGCAAAGAAAGTCTAAAACACAGGAAAGCTTGACGAAAAAGAGCCCTACAAAATAAATACATCAATAAACCCGTGACATTCACAGTGGCCTGACAACGGCGTTGCAACCTCGGGCTGCCTTTTGCATTGAAACACTCTCCAAACCACTCACAAATGCATTTCCCCACCCCCCTATTTACTGCTGAACGATCCTAAGAACCAAAATGGGTATTTTACGGGTGAAATTTCATCTATTTTTCGCCCTTCAGCAGCAGTCTGAGCACGGGGGTCCCTGGCCCGCCCTGGAAGACACTCCAAAAGGCAGCTTGAAGGGAGCTGGAATTAATACAGATGCTTAGCTTGGCTCCTTCAGGCTGTGGAGCCTGGGCTGGCTCTTGGGTGAGAAATAACTGCTGTGGGGTTTGGGTTTTTTTCCCCTTCAAAGCAGCAGTGGGGTTTCTATAACGTTTAGTAAATGAAATAGGAAACCTTCAGAGAAGGGGGAAAGCTAGAGAGGACAGGGAGCAAAAATAGGTGTAATGTCATATGGTTGCATTCATTTTTGGATGTGAGAGGTGCTGTGAAGCAGGTAAGCTCCTGGGAAAGCTTCTCCGAGCTCTGGAAGCCTTCATTCAATTGGGGCAAACAGCCCATACGTACCTCTCCAGACCCGGTTTTGGGGAGTCACACAGAGGCTTCCCCCATGTGTACCCAGAGTCCTGACAGAAAGATCTGCAAAACCAAGGGTTTATAAAAGGAGATTTTCCTTGTAAGCAGTAATCATGTGCTAGGGATTCTCCATATTCTTAGAGCCGTTATTAAAGCTCTTTGTATTTATTCTGTCTTCTACAGCTACAGAAGAACTAATTGTCCCATGTCTGATGTATGCCATTAAAGTGAGAGAAACGATGAAAAATGCAAAGGAAAATCCCCGCCTACCTGCACGGTCAGAGCTCCGTTTTCCTGTTTACTCTCCTTATACTTCCTTTTCACCAGCAACAGGGAGACCTTTTTTTCCCCTTTCTTTAAAGAATGGGGAGGGAGGGGGGAGGGGGGGGGGGAAGCCTGTGTTAAGCTTGTGACCCCTTCCAGGCTGTAAAATGGTAGACAATGATCCCTGCTTATGCCTTACAGGAAGATGGAGGTTAATGCCATGTAAGAGAAACAGAATCACCAAATAAAACCTCCAAAATCCAGCTGGTACAAAACCCCAAACAAGTCCTATCTTTAAAATGTCCTACATGCTGCGGGTAGAAAGCAGATCTCAGACAGAGAGGACAGGGTTTATTGAAAGTGATGGGAAGGGTGATATTATCATGACAGCAACAAAATCCAGTCCCTGTTCCTTTGTGGTGGCACAGGCTGGGTGCCATCCCTGCACCGTGGATGCTCAAATAAAAGGGGTGGCACAGGGTTGATCCCTGTTGTCACCCCCACAGGCATCTCTTCCTCACCACAAAGTCCTGGGGCTAAACTGCACTGCAAATTCCCCTTGGGCTGGCTGTCCTGGTATGCCTTTTTTTTCCCCTTGGAATAACATGTTGTGTACACCAAAGGGTTAGGAACTGTGGTATGTAAGAAGAAAACCACTTGTGCTGCCTGTGATCAGAGTGGTTTTGGGAGGAAACTTTGCCTGGGACTGTATAAAACCCTTGGAGTGGGATGTGGGAATCAGGGATGCAGGTGAAAGATGGGGAAGAGGTGGATGAATGGATAGATGTATGGCTACATATATGGATTAATATATTTTTGAATTTGAGTGTTTATGGGTACCTGTATGCATTGAACTTACAGTTACATTTCAAACACACATTGAAGTGAAGAGGTAACACTTTTCTTGCCTAAAACACTACTTATCATTTGAACCAGGAGAAATGATTTCTAGTCACCAGCAGAGACCAGGAGGATAAGGAATTAGAAGGCCATCGCTCGGGCTAACCCCAGCAGGATCACATGCCTCTCCCCACATCCCTTCTTCCAGCGTTTATAACCCAGTGTAGACAAACCATCTGCAGCTTGAGGGGCTAAATTCACCATTCAAGGTCATGCCATAGAAGCCCTTTAGGATCCCATGGAATATCTTTATTATTAACTCAAAAAGGAGGCGTCCAGCTTGCACAGAGATTAGGGAGAGGCTGCTCAGCATAAAACCAGACTGCTGAATAGGAAAAGCTCCCTGCACCCCGCTTCCCTTCCTTGAATTTCCAGCTTTTTGAATCTGCGTTTACAGGTTTTCAGAGCAGAGGGCTCCAGGATTGCACTGGCCACCCCCTGACTGCACAGGGAGAAGCCAGAAGTTCAAATGATAGCAAAGATATTAGGAGACACATGGAGCAGGACAGGAAAAACAGCCCAGGGAAGGAAAAGCAATCTCCAAAGTGTGCTAAAGGGGGACATTCTGCTTTGTGTAAGAGAGACGGACATGTGTCCACCAAATGTTGTCTTACCCTAAAAAGGAGGGGGGAAAAAAAGCTTGTGAGTGCTCCAAATTCTAGCCCCCCCCCCCCCTTTCCCCTCCCCAGCACCTCCGCTTTGAACTTTTCTGTTTAAAAATTGATTTTATTTTGAAACAGAGATAGGGGGCGGGGGGGGGTGGGGGGTGGGTGGGTGTGGAATTGATGTGAGTTGGTTCAGGTGTGGACAAAGAGTCCCCCACCTCTCCTGCAAATGTGGTGACTAGGCTTGCAAAATAAGCAACCTCTCCAGGGTTGGCTTATAGGGTTCTCCCCCCTTTCTATTTGTCTCTATCAGCCCTATTTTGCTCGCTTTTGCTCTATTGCGCGGTCGCGGAGTCTGAGCCCACGGCTGAGGCCACCTGCCCGGCCAGCCCCAGCACAGCCCCTCGCCCCTCACCCGCGCAGGCTCCGCGCTCCTGCCCTTTCCTCCAACTTGTTTATTTTCCCAAAGCAAAAGGCTGCTGCCTGCCTTTTCCAGAACGATGTCAGCCCTGAGAGGGAGAGAAGGAAATCTGGGCTATATCGGTGAGCTCAGAAAGGTTTGGACGCTCTGTCTGCAAACTGCAGCCTCTCTGATTATTTTTCTGTAGCACTTCAGGACAGGCTGGAGACATAACAGTGGTCAGTCAGTGGCTCCGTGTGAGAGAAACGAACTACGGGAATATGAGGACACTCATTTATATTATTAGGGGGGCAAAAACCCAAGGAAACCCAAGAGGGGGGAGGAGGGAAGGAAAAATGGGGAGAAAAAGGAGGGGGGGGGAAAGGGAGGAGAAAGGAAGGGAAAGCCCTGGGGCAAAAAATATCGGTCTCTACACAGGCCGAAAGGAAACAGAAAAGTGCATTTCTATGGCAAGAAGGTGAAAATAATGAAAACCAAAAGGTGCTAACACCCTGAAAAGCACAGACAGAATATCGCTGATTGACATGCAAAGTCATGGTTCAGGTTTGTGGCTGTTTGCAAGCAGTTCGAAACGCGCCGAAATCGCCTCCAATAAACGCGCAATGGAGAAGGATAAACCCAAACTTTGGCTGAAGTACACATGTCCCCGGCAAAGACAGGATGGAGTTGCCGTGCAATGATAATGAATCTCTACAGCTTTTCTATTTGTCCCGCTGCCACAAAGTTTACTTGCGGGCCTCGAAGCTGTGATGGAAATGTAATGCAGTTCCAGCTCTCGGGAGGATAAGAATTAAGACCTTCTTAAAAGTGAGAAATAAAGCTCTGAAAGAGAGACAGACCCTCTTTCCTCCCCTCTCAGCCTTTAGTCATATCAACCCTTTAAAACAGTTTAAGCAGATAATATTTCAGAACTTACTTTCAGGACTCCAGTCTATTGGCTCCCTGGACTGAAAACTGGACCCGCAAAACATGTTCCCTGCAATTGCAACGTTTATCTCATCTGGAAAAGTGCTCACCCATTGCTGCCCCTTACAAGCCAAACCAAGCAGTTAAAGTGTCACTTAACATTCTAGAGAATGTGAAATATATTGTACATTGTCAACTCCCCAAAACCATAAAACTAACTTTATGGACCTCACGTGACTTTTGAGAGCCAGTGAGGGGTATCTGTCTGAGGTCTGGGCGATTTTTACGATCTAACTTCTAGATAAAACCCTATCCATTTGACATCTAAATGTCATACCCACTTTTGGTATAGTTTGCTATTAGTGAAAAAAAAAAAAAAAAAGAAAGAAAAAAGAAAGAAAAAAAATCAAGGGAAGGCGAGCAAATGGTTTGGGACCTGACAGTCCACTTCACATCCCTCTCAAAATCACTTAAGAAGTACCTAAACAGTGGGAGATTAAGTTTGGTAAGTTTTAAGCTCCAACTTTACTTGCTACGAACAAAAAGCCTAGGCTGTATTGTAGAGATGTCAGTGGCGTTTTGCCAAATCGAGCGACTTTAAAACGGAGTATCTCGTGCCTTGGGAGATTCCCTAGGTAGCGAAATGGCAACATTTGCCATCTTTGATGATGTTAAATAATCTGCAGCCAAAAAGACTCGTTGTAGTGAATGTCAGTAGTTGCAGAGATGTTATTTACATGTTAAACCGGAGACTAGGAGTTAAAAGCAGTTAAGCACAACAAACCGAGGACGAGAGATAGCAGAGTTGGGCATAGCTCAGCGCAGAAATGTATGCTGTATATATCCATGTTTATCTATATATATTTCAAATATATCTATCCAAACACACCGATCTGTGATTCTGTAGAGCGCAGGTTTATGTATACGCGTATGTGGGCATAAATACCTCTGGCTTTTCAAATGTGCTTGTGTGTATGTAGATCTAACTCCTGAAATGCACGTAAATCTGCCTTTATATCGCGGGATTGCAACTTGAAGTACTGGAAACCAGTTTTTCTGCTACCATGGGTTGGGGGGGTCGGCGGTGTTTTGGGGAGACGGCGTTCGGAGAGCCGTGAAGGGCTGCGGTTTGTGCCGGCCGGTGTCTGGAGGGCGTTGGGTTTGAATATTTGGTGGGTTTGAGCTCCCCAGAGCTGCCCAGGAGAGGCTGGGGCTCTGCTGAGAGTTCCTCGCAGCGTCTCAGCCCCACGCCAGGCATCTCCGCGGCTCCAGCATGGGCTGCGAATCTCAGAGCTTGTGTATAAAGTGCAACTGGGAGCCTTTGTGAGTAGGAGAAACGTTTATTTGACTTCAAGTAAAGCTACAAACAAATACAAAAAGCTTATTGGCAAAGTACTAACAGGCAGCTAGACATGACAGATGCCATTTTTACACATAACATTGCATTCACTCTGCCCACTACAAACCGTCTATTAGTCACATCAGAAATATTTCTAGTATTTACAGACATTAGAGCACTCTATTGTTGGTCCGATTTTATACATAATCTTTTTTCTTTTATAATAGTGAAGTTTACCCACGTCTAAGAGTACGTCTTAGAATAAGGCTGGGACTCGAAATCCTGGCCTGAAGTTCGAACTAAAACACAGACTGGACAATTTTAAGACAGATACAAGAGCTTGTGCCTTTTTTTGGTGGTTTTTTTTTTCACTTTTTCACCCCCCCCCCTTTTTTTTTTTACATTTTTGTTTGGGTTTTTTTAGCTTTTTTTTTTTAGCTTTTTTTTTTTTTTTTTCTGCCACTGTAGTGCAGGAACCCCCTTTTTTAGCTTAGGCAGAGAACAACTCACCCAAAAGCAGTAAACTCAGGAAAGGGGGGGGGGGGGGCATAAAGAAAAGAAACCGAACAAGTACACAACCGTATCTGTTCTCGATTTATAAATAAGTTATAATATTTAAAGGGCTCACATAAGACATGCTAGCTTTCCAGAAAGCATCAAGAGAGCACGGACACAGACATTTAGAAGAACAACAGCATGAGGAGCATCTGGAAATAAAATTTAATTCTATATAAAAAAAAAGAAAAGATTTAAACCCCCAAATTTAATAACAAACAGAACACGACATGGACTCAGTCCTGGGATAACGGTACCATACGCGTTGGTTTAGAATATCAACAACATGCCGAAAGAAAGGTGCCTCACTGTACAGTACTCGGAAACTAAAATCTGCGCTTTATTTATTTATTTACGGATTTCTTTCTCGCCTCCTCTTCTTCCCTCGATATTCCTCCTCTAGACTTTATGGCTGAAAGGCGCTGCCCGCCGAGGCTAAGCTCATGCTTTTCAGTTTATTATCCTTCTTCCATTTCATCCTCCTGTTCTGGAACCAGATTTTGATCTGGCGTTCGGAGAGGCAGAGAGCGTGAGCGATCTCTATTCTCCTCCTGCGGGTGAGATATCTATTGAAGTGGAATTCCTTTTCCAACTCCAGGGTCTGGTAGCGAGTGTACGCTGTCCTCGCCCTCTTCCCGTCTGGTCCAGTCATGTCTGAATAACACGGACAACAGCGGGGTTGGGGTTTTGCTTTCTGCTAAGATTTTTGTTATCCTTAAGGCTATATAGATAAATATATATATTGTAAAACCGAGGTAAAATACTCGCCTTCTTCGGGCAGCTTGGAATGCTGTTTATTCCTCAAATAACAACCCCCCTCCCGCCTTTTTCGCACACCCCCAGACACGTGTAAACCCCCCCACCCTCGGCCCCTCCAGAACCGGTATTCGCAACTCAGTGTTCATAATTTAACTGGAGAAGAGAGATTTTGCATCTCCCCTTCCCCCCCCCCCCCCCTTTGCCCGGGTGTTTCTCGGTCTCTTTGCAGGGGGTTCAGGTTTAAGGCTCTTTTCTCCAGCAGAAAACAGGGCCGAGTGTGTGTGTGTAGTTGGGGGGGTGGGGTGGGGGGTGATGGTGTCTCTCTGTTCCTCTGTATCTCCTCGCAATTTTGGTTTTCTCAAGAGCAGATTGTCAAGAATACACCCAGCAAAATAAGAGCAGGAAAGGACTGAGAGACCCATCTGTGCATATAATGCCATTTTAATGGTCAATTCTTTCCTTTCCTCTCCCCCCCCACACACCCCCAAGGAACACCCCCTTCCCTCAATTTTTAAATTACCTTCTCCCACCATCCACATAGAGCTACGAGCTGAAAATAAGCGCCCATTTCACGGAGAGAATAGCGAAAGTTAAATAAAATCGCCCCCCCCTCACCCCTTCGAGGCGCCAGAGGCAGCTTTAAAGCAGCCATCAGAGCAAGAAATACAAAAGCAATAAATAGCTGCGTTTCTGATCAAAGCGCCTCCACGGAATAAAAGGAAGGAGAGAAAAAAGGGAGTGGGGGGAGTGGGGGGGTGGGGGGAGGAGGAAAAGGGGAAAGGAAATTAAAAAACACAGTAAAACACGAGAGAAAAGGAGAGGGGTGTGAGAAAATAAACAACAACAACGACAACGACGGAAAAAGAAGTAGCTGTACCATGGCTAATGTGAAGTTTCCTCATCCAAGGGAATATCTGAGGTGCCTGCCCTTCTGTTGCTGCGGTGGAGGTCGCGATGGGCTCTGCCTGTGCTCGGGGGATGCTGCTGCTTATTGGAGTGCCCTCGTCGGCTCCCGAGGACGCGCTGGTCTCGTCTAGTTCTGTGAAATTTGTGTTGGTGGTGCTGGCAGAAGGAGCTTGGTCGGAGGGGGACGGGGCGGGTTTGCCTCCATGGCTCTCGCTGTTGGAGCAGGGAAGGGAGTCGGGAGAAGATAAGGAGCAGCTAGACGCCTGTCTAAACCTGCTCTCCTGAGCTGGAGAAGGGAAACCGCGGGAGCTCTCCCCCACAGCCCCAAAGTGGCTGGAGGAGGCTGAGCGGTTGATGCTAAGGTCCATCCCATTGTAGTTGTAGCCATAAGAGCTGGAATGCATGGTGCTTGAATCTCTGTAAGAACCGTTCATGGAACTGCTGGTCCCATAATTTAGTAACTGATAGTCGGGGCCATTTGGGTAGCGCCCTGAGAACGAGTTTACAAAGTAAGAGCTCATTTGGGTTATTTTGGAGGGCTTGATTTGTGGCTCGTGGTCGTTATAACCCTGTGCTTGACGATTTATGATGTATTAATGAATTATAGCGATGCACTGTACTTCGTTTTTGCTATGTATGCGGCCAAATATGGGGGGGGGGAGGGTGGGGGGTGCGTTTGGGAATCACGTGCTTTTGTTGACCAGTCGTAAATTCTCACTGATGACCTCAAGAGGTAATTCATGCTCTATGGTTACAAATAATGACGATCGCGGAGTCGTTTAGGCCCGAGTCGGTGCGCGGCGCCCCGAATCCCCGTGCGCGCCGCCGCCGCGCTCGCCCCCCACCTTGGCGGAGCGCGCCACCTGCCGGCCGAGCGGGGCGCAGCGCCCAGGGGGGACTGAAGGGGGGGACACCCCCGTACCCCCAAATCCACCCTCCGAACACATCCCCCTTCTTCTATATTCATTTTCCTTCCTAAAAATCAACGCTGAGATGAAAGCGGGGTGGGGGGGGGGAAGTCTCGCCGCGGCTGGCGTGTCCACGCTCCCTCCCGTGGGTCTTCTCGCCCGGCTTCTTTTCTTTATTAAACTCTTAATTTCTTCCTTTGTGACACCGTTGGGAACTTCGGAGGCAGCGGGCGAAGTGCCTTGAGCATGGGGAGGGGGGTTCTCTTCGGTTAATATCTGCACGGGGAAAAGGGGGTACGGTAAAGCTGTGCTGGGGGTGCGAGGCTGCGTGGGGTTATTTCGCGTGGTTACAGTCAAAAAGTCGAGCGTTGCTGCACGCTGAGCGTGGACCAGGGATGCGGTCGCATCTTAATTCTGGAGGGGGGGGGGGGGGGAAGAGGAAAGGGGGAGAAATAAATGGGGAGAAAGGAGAAGAAGGGAACGTCCAGCCGGTGGAAATGTTGACAACGTCGCTTTTGGGGTATTCTCATTCCTGAGCGTTTCGCTTCCTCTTTGAACACAGCATTGTGCTACGTCCTTTTTCCTTTCCGTTTGTTAACCTGCAAGGAATATTGGGGAGCAAAAGCACTCTGAAACTGGTAAAATTGGGAAAAACGTTGTGAAAAAGCTGTGCTTTGTTAAGCATTGCTTCCTTTTATTTTCCCCTTCTTCTCTTTTCTCTCTCTCCTTTTTCTTTCTTTCTTTCTTTCTTTCCTTTTCTTCCCAAGGCAGTTTAGGAATTTCATATGCTTGTCTGCAACTCATTGGAAATTATGCGCCATATTGAAAGTGACATATAATTATAATAATTACGGGCAATGAAAAGCGTGGCAATAATAGTAAATGTCCTACAGCTGTGAAGCTTCTGCATGAATTGATTTTAAAAGTGAGTGACATTAAACCAGCTTGTGGCACGGGGGAATGCATTCATACATAGGTATTCCGTGTGGAGAGTGGGAAAGGGAATGGGAGCCAGGAGGTATCCTCGTTCCTCGCGTTTTCCCCTCGTGAAACTGCAGAAAACGGTATCCGAAACAGCCTGGGCTGGTCGCTGGTTTCCAGTCCTAACCCTCAGCAGAACAAGCACTTCCTTTCGTTTAATCCCCCAAACCCAGGAAAAGTTTGCTCTTTGCAGCAAGAGGTTCCTCCTTGGCCAGAGCAGGAGCGGTCCCCAGCCCACCCCCCTCCCAGCACAGGAGAAATCACTGGAAACGCTTTCCAGTTCAAATGAAAATCTGCTCTTCTAAAAAAGCGTTTCATACTTAGTTTAGATTCTTTTCCACCTTTTTTTTTCCCCCCTAAATGCAGGCTGTATTCTTGGAGCTGGGAAGCTACTCGTTTCACAGGGCAAATTCCCTTGAAATCTGGACTTTTTTGCAATACACCTCACTTTGATTTGGGGATATGAAGTAAGGGACCAGATGTTTGAAAGATGCTAGGCAAATGTTAGGTATCTTTGGTAGATAAATGAGAGCATATTTTTGCCTGTTTCCTTGATTTATTATGTATATGGCGAGCGTTTCGTCATAACTCTTTGTACTGTAACAATAAAAAAGAATGATACTAAAGCAGAATGTCAGCGAGGAAATACTATTGGTGAAAGGGCTTCCATTTACGATTAGGCAAAAAGAGGGAAAACCAGATTTATCTCTCCACTGTAACTTCCGTATGCTTGGAGTTGCTTGTCCTTGCAGATTAGAAGACATTGTCAGGCAGAGAGCAGCAAGGCTTTCGTTATTGCTCTCTGCTCCTTAAGAATGGCAAGTTCCCTATGGAAAAGGGAAAGATAAGAAGAGCAATAATAATAGTAATAATGACAGGGTGGTGTGCGTGAGCTCGAAGACTTTGTTTTTATTAGAGAATTCCATGGTCATACCTAAGACAAACTTCAAACACAACACGTACAAAAATTAATAAAATAGAACTTTTTGCCGTTGCTGTTGTTGCTTTTGCATCCTTTTAGGTAGTACTCGTTCTTTCAGTAGATTTTCCTTTAAAAAAAATAATATATATATAAAAGAAACAACAACAACAAAAAAAAAAAAAACAAACCCCAAACCCCATAATAAAACTAATTCCGAAGACCCCAGGGCTTGATTAATTTACCAAAGGAGCAAAAAAATGAAATAAAAACCCAACTATGTCAACCGTGCAGGAAACATTTTTACAAAATTAAGACAATAAACACCCCAAATGACATATATTGCAGCACTTCCATTAAATACAAGAGTTAGCAGGTTACTAACAGTGACACCAAGGGTAGAAACACAGGTAGGAGTCCTTATTTTTTTTTTTTGTCTTTTTCCTTTTCTTTCCCTCCTCCTCTCATTCTTCACTTTCTCATTATTATTATTATTATTATTTGGGGGGGGTGAGTGGGAGGCTTGGGAAGGAAGAAAAAATCATTAAAAACGCATCTAGAAGCCTGATTTTTTTTTCCCTTTTTTTTTTTTTTTTTCCCTGTTTTTTCTTGGGCGCGCCAGAACACTGGGAACAAGAATCCATGGCATTGGTGGCCCAAACTTTCTAGCTGTGGCCGCTGCTCAGAGGGCTTGTCCCACCAATGTACAGGTTCTCCCTGTCCTCGCAGCCAGCCCACACCCCCCTCATCCTCACGGCTCTCACACACTCTCTCCCTCCCTCTCTACTTCTTTAACGTGTTCTTGTTGTGTGTGGGGTTTAAAATAATACTTTCACTCCGCCGTTTTCTCCTCCTCCTCCTCCGCGCTCAGTTGCGAGGAGTTGAGCAATTTATTCTCTTTTTTCCACTTCATCCTGCGGTTCTGGAACCAGATTTTGATCTGCCGCTCCGTCAGGCAGAGGGAATGGGCGATCTCGATCCGCCGGCGCCGGGTCAGGTAGCGGTTGAAATGGAATTCCTTCTCCAGCTCCAGTGTTTGGTAGCGGGTGTAGGTCTGGCGGCCTCGGCGGCCGCTGGGCCCGAAAGAAGAACCTGTGACACCCACAAAAAATAAAAAGGAAACAAATAGGAAACAAATAGGGAAAAAATAGGGGGAGCGGAAGGGGAGGGAAGGGGGGAGGGGAAGGGGAAAAAATAAAAGAAATTAAAGGAAAAAAAAAAAGGGGGGTGGGGGAAAGCCCCGCGGTTTAGTGGAGCCGCGGAGATACCGGATAATCCGCGGGATTCTAAACCCCTCATCACGGCGGTATGCGAAGGGGTGTGTGCCCGCTCCCCTGCCCTCCGAAGGCTTTGGCCAACCTCAAAATCACCCCATCGGCCTGTGACCCCCTCCGTGCGCACAAGGGAGCTCCCCTGGCTGGGCCGCACCCGCGGAGGATCCGCAGCCGAGCTGTAGGCAGGGATCGTGCTGAACTGGCCCGGCTGCTGGCAGGGCCGGGGAGACAGGGCAAGATCTATCTGATTCCGGGATGAAAAATCGCAAGGTGTTCTCTCCCCCCGCCCGCCCGCGCTGTTTTCCACCCTACCGGCAACTGTAATAGATCGGAGCATTTAAGCAATAATGAAGTGAATCGATCTGCCCAAACTCTGCATTAAAGAGGACACAACACTTTATGTCCCTGCGCTAATGGACGTCAATTTGGAACTTAAGAGGCAACAAATGCATCTAAACATGGGAAGGAGGGTGGTGAGCCTCTTTATTCCCCCCCTTCTTTTTTTTTTTTTTTTTTCCTGATTGAGGAAACAGCACTTAAAGAAGTCATATATCACCAGGGGGTGGAAAAAAAATTCTCCCCAGGCAGACTTTTCATTATGTGTGTTTCATTAAAAATGTAGCCCTCTCCTTTCAAATATTTAAACACTTTGATATGATTTAAGTCCAGATCGGGCAGCCAGCGAGAAAGGGAGCTGCGTGGGGGTGTGAGTCCGTGTGTGTGTGTGTAAAGTCATCCAGATCTGATTTAGAAAAGATATCTCCCTGTGCGTGTGGAGGAAAGACAGAGACAAATCGCTGTAGCTGAGTGACACGCGAAGTGGAATGTGGGGGGAAATCAGAAAGGGGGGGGGGTGGGTGTTGGAGAAATACTGTATTGGGGATTTAAATGGGGGGGCAAACTTTTTAAGTGTGTATGGAGGGAAGTTCTGCGGGGGGAATACTTGAGCGGTGGGAAGTTTTGGTGCGTGTCAGGAGCAAGTTGGAGCGTCTCGTGCCGCCTAACTTCCCCGATGGAAGTTTGGGCTCCAAAGTGAAGCTTATTCCTGCTTCCCTCGCGCGCTTTCTCTCTCTCTCTCTCTCCCTGGCGGTAACAAATAAGAAAGGGGGGGAGGAGATTGATGTATTTATTTCTGTAAAAGAGTAAACTCACTATTGCAAGAGTTCATCCGCTGCATCCAAGGGTAAACCGGAGCGGAACATTTTGGCTCCTCGCTCTCTCCGAAGGCGGCTTTGCCGTGCGCGCAGTCCGCCGTGCGCGGCTCGGGGCCGAGGGGCGCCTCGTCCAGCGCCGGGGGGGCACAGGCGGGGTCCTTCTCCCTGAAGAACCCTCCAGCCCCGTAGTCACAGGCGGAGCCGCGGCTGTAGGCTCCGTTGCTCTGCTGGTAGTAAGGGGAGGAGGTGTAGCCCTTCTCCTGGACGCCCGCGGCTCCATAGGTGGTGGGGTAGTGCCTCAGAGGGTCCGCGTAGCCCGAGGGATACAGCGGGATCTGTCCCAGGAAGGGCTCCTGCCCCGCCGCCAGACTCACCGGGAAGGTCGAGTTGACAAAATAAGAACTCATTGGAAGAAGCCTGCCGTCCTTTCCCGGCTTTATGATTTGTTGTGTTTTATAGTCCAAGTGGTTTAGCTATTAGTAGTATATCGGAGATTGGGTTTTAGCTGAAGGGAGATGGCGTGGTGCCAGCGAGGGACACAAGGAAATACAACCATCTGATCAGGGGCTGACCAATAGCAGGCGCCTGAGGTTGCAAAATAGCACCCATGAGGAGCTGAGATTGCACCAGGGACCCCAAGAACAAACCATCCACCCCTTTTTCCCTCCCTTTTAAACAACAGAAATGCACCCCCTTAACCAAATATATAATATCTGCCGAAAGAAACATTCCCGGCGCGCTCCGAGCTTCATAAATAAATAAACGTGTCCGTCCCCCGTCCCCCCCCCCCATCTCCCCCCGCTCCCCCGGAGCTCTGCGCGGGGGTGTGCGAGAGCCCATCGCACGGATGGCGGTCTGTGCGCCTACATGTATTTACACACATAGAACGTACACAAATACTCTCTGCAAGTGTGTGGGGGGGGAAAGTCAGTTATTCGCATTCGGAACACTTTAACCCCTAAGTGTTTGCAAATCGTCCTGACATGGCTCCGTACTCCACCACAGTTACAGAAAAGAAGGAAGAAGGAAAAAAAGGGAGGAAAAAAAGTTTTTTTTTTGTGCGTGTGTGTGAACTTTGTGAGGAGATCTCACCGGGCTGATTAACTTACATTTGCTATAGGAGAAGAAATCGGGTTTGACAACTTATTTCGGTTCCTGTATGTCTAATTACCAGAGATTAGCACTCCCCGTCCGAGGAAATCCGCCCTCGCTTGAAGCAGACCTTCCCTTTTTCATATATTGCATTTTTACCTTTCCTTTTCTGCAAAAGCTCCGTATTCAGAAGATAAATGGAAAATCGAAGTATTTCCTTTATCCCTCGTTAAATCCCTATCCCCTCCACAGTCCGGCACCACATTGTGCCCTCTTGCGTTTTTTTGTTAATACCAAATCTATGCCGGACCTTTTATGGCTAAGAGGCAGCCCTGGGTTACGGTCCAAAGCTGACTTTATTGATCGTTCCCGATCGAGATGGGGGTTTTAAGGAGAGCAAAAGCTGGCGGTACGGTGGGGCTGCTGCCTCGGAGGTGCGCACGGACCCCGCGGGTTTGCAGCCCCCCTTTGAGCTCATTCCCGTCGCAAAAAAGCAGCCTTTTCCATTTTGCAAAGTTAAAAAGCTGGAAGGGAAAATTCGCAAAATCTCAAGCAATTCCCGGTCGCCCTAAAAGCTGCTCTTTGCTCTGGGCTGTGCCTCTCTCGGTTTTCCTCGACAGGGATGTGCTTTGCTCTACCTGGTGCATCCCCCCTTCAGATCCCTGTTTGCTCAAGGTAGACTTGGATCTCTGTTCGCCACCTTCCCTCTGTTCACATGGGAAAATCAGAGCCATCTCACAGGAAAAGATAAAAAATAATCAAAAATATCACCAAACGCCACCTAAATTAAAGCCAGGACTGTACCCGGATCATTTGCCTTTTATCAAGGATTCGTTTCCTGTCCGAATTTGTAGCCATCTGTCTTTGAGTCTTATATGCCGTGAAATGACCCGCCTTATAATACACACTCCCCTGTACTTGAATGTGTGAATGTGTGTGCTCCAAATCTAGAATTACATATATTACATGGTGTCTGCAGAGCTGCCAATGCGGCTCTCACTGACGGAGCTCCAAGTATCTACCGAAGTGGTATCTTATTACGAGCTGATTTATTTTAAACATCATGTTTACAGCAGCAAAGCCAAGATTGTTTCATGCCACGGCTGCAATGAACATTTCGACTGAAACGTAATCCTTATAATTCAAGGAAATAACATGCAAAGGAAATAGTTTTCCATCCTCCACCCCCTTTGACTGATATCTCTTATATTTGTTCTTTCAGAGTTTCCCTTTGTGTATGGAATGGACCCAAACTTACGTAGATCTGCTTTATTGGTATGCAAGACAAACAAAAAGTGAGATTGAAAGGGAACGGTGACTAGAGAAGAGGGGGAAAAGGCTGGGATGAGAGCCCCAAGTTAACTGCTGTGCAGGAGCCGAGCAGCTCCAACATTTAATTAGAGAGTTACGCAACATTTGTAGCTCTGAAATCTAGTGATGATCTGGCATCATCAGCTCTGCATGCAAATCTGGGGCTAAGCAATGGGATGTGCTGATAATCCAGTGCGTGAGTACATCTGCTGAAAATGTTTGCTCTCATATTTTCTCTTACTCCTCGGGATCGCTCTGCAAATATATCCCTGGAAACAAGGGGTTTGGGGAAAGAACCCCAAACCCTCTCACACCCCCAGATCCCAATACTGCTCATCCGAGTGGCCTTGTGGCTGAAACGGGCTTTTTATGTAGTTTGTCAGTCGACATTTTAAAATGCACTAATTGAAGCTGGCCGCTTGCTAATTCCTTCTTGCTGACACCTTCGACGCGCTATAGATAGAAAAGAACAAGTCCTGCCTCTTAGAAGGATGGCTCTAAAGAGGGCTATTTGGAGAAGGAAAAGGAAAGAAGAAAACTTGGTCTCAACCTAAAAAGAAACCCCAACCAAATCACCCAAAACAAAACAGAAATCAAACCCAGACCTGTCATAGTTTGAATGTTCCTGAGGGTCAGGCCCGCGGTCTAATTGATTTGCCACCTCTAATATATGTTAAATACGAGTAGAGGTCTTAAACCGCACTAAATCTCAGCGAATTGAGTGCTCAGCTCAGAGGTGGATTCCTATCCCCAGTTCAATAGCTTATAACAAATGAAGTTGAAACATTTAAAACGTTGCGTTATTGGTGTAGCTGTTGAGCAGACGCTCTCCCGCCGTCCCCGCTCCAGTCTGAAGGTAAATCTCAACCCGATTTTTGCAAATCTATTTTCTTCGGACGCCTCCAGAGCCAGCACAGGCGGGGGCGGGGGGTGAGGTGGTGGTGGGGTGTGTGTTGCAGGCAGACACGGAGCAGCAGCGGCTGCAGAAAGGAGCTTGTACAGAAGCCCTGAAGTTTGACCCGTCTTTGGGGGGCACCGGTGGGCACGGGTTTATTCAGTCTCTGGCCTCATCGCCTCAAAAACCGGCACAGGGTTTTTGCTAAGAAGGAGCAATAAAGCGGGGAAGTTGTGAGAGGCACCAGAAGGTGGTATAACACACTTAACTGTGCTGGGAAGCCGGCTTTCCCCTCCTGACAGACATCACTCATCTGGCAGGGCATAAATAAAGATAAAGAGAAGTATTTACAGTATGTACAACCCCAGCTCTCTGCCCAAGAAGGTCTCGGTTTTTGTCGCTTTGCTTTTCTGGCCGGAGAGAACGCCAATCCCACCAGGCAGAGCCAGGCAGATAGATGAGGGGATTAAAACAACACCCAAATATTTCAGCATGCAAACAGAACAGAGCGTTGCTTGTGTGAAAGCTAAACCCTCCAGGAGCTTGGTAGAAAGTTCAGTGCAGTTGGTTCCAATAAAAAATGAAACTCGCTTTTTTTCATGTGGAGCTGGAATTCCCGATCCTTCTGAAGTGAGAACACAGCGGGGGTTTCCCTACCGAGGGACTTATTGCAGCCATAAAGTCAAGCCAACACCACGAAAACACTTGAAAAACCCCCTTGTTCCTGGAGTCAGACATAGAAAGCTATTGGCAGCAGAGAAACCTCTCTTGTAATGCTCATGTACACCCAAAAGCATATCGGAAAAAAGCCCCGACAGAGCCGTTCAGAGCTCCAGGGCTGGAGTAATTAAAAAATGACCCTGAAGGTGTAAAAAAAATATAAAATACCGGCTTTTCCCGCACATAACCGCCTCAAACTTAATTTCCAGCAATTTAAGTTTAATTTACCTGACTTCCCGTGCAGTGCATAATAACCTGGTTAATGGCATCTTTGAAAAGAAGCAATAATAATCTGCCATTGTTCCATTATAGAGTGCAGCTAATTATTAACAACAACAACAAAAAAAAAAGGAGAGTGGGGGGGTCGGGAGTGCAGAGGAGGAGAGGGGCACTGGGGGACTCAAGCTACATCCAACCCAAGCATTTCTGCGCTAGCAAGTTCTGGGAAGTGGAAAGCGGAGGTGGAATATTAGGAAAGCAGGGAAAAGCAGAAGAAAAAGTGAGATGGATCATGTAATATGGAAAGCGAATGCCGGGGGGTGCTGGGAGTTGCAGCATGGAACAAGTTAATCGTGGCTGTTGCTGGTCAGAAGAGAGAAACTTCGCGCCCCCCCTCCCCCCCCTTTCTTTTTTTCTCTCTTCTTTACCATAGTCCCTGGCATCTCACTTTCTTGGAGAAAATGTCTCTCGTCTGGACATAAACAGTTGCCAGGAAACTGTGTGGCAGGAGGAGAAAACGAGAGGGAGAAAGCGAGCGGGAGGAAGGGAGACAACGAGAAACCTTTAAACATAACAGGCAGGCATTGTCCCTTCAGCGCCCACGGGAGCCCAAGGGTGACTCCTTGGACCCAGCAGCCACCCCCAGGCCGTGCTCCTGACAGACCCCTCGGGGTGACCACTGGGAGCGAGAAATAATAAAAGCTCCTTTTAGAATTAGCTAAAAACCCCGTTTTAAACCAGCCTCTCAGTCGCGTTTCACGCTCGGCCACCCGTCTTTCCCACTCGTGTGCATGTGGACACAGGAGGGGCCGTACGTGTGTGAGCGCACACGTGTCTGAACACTCGTGACACGGCTTCAGACGCTCATCAGCACAGGTTGGGGGCTGTATGGATCAACACGGGTGTTGGGGTGCTCGTGGCTCACATGCGAGTACACATACATGTGCGGGGGTGACCTCTGGGCCCTACGCGGAACAGAGAATCCGCCCTCCGTGCGGAACCGGGCACCGTGGAGGAGAAGAGCTTCCAGGAGTGGGACCGGAGGCTGCGGTCCCAGGGTGACGGCAATGCACCCAGGGCAAGGGCCGCCCCCCCCCGCCGGGACACCGGCTGCGGGAGCCCCCTGGGAGCCGCCGGCTGCCGCCGCCGACGGTAGATGGCAGCAGACGGCGGGGAATGGGCGAGCCCCGGCGGCAGCACCGGGGGACGGCGCGGCAGGGGGGGGGGGGCTCCCCTCTACCGTTGTATTTTATCTTCTTTAATAAATAAGCAGGGGAGGATGCCAGGAGGGGACCCGGCCAGGAGAAGCGCGGACACCCCCTATCCCTGAACCCCCCGGAGGGTGGGGGGGGGACACAGGCATTTCTCGTTCATCCCGTGTTGAAATGGTTAAAAAAGACCTGCCCGCAGCGAGATGCGGGATTTCCACAAGTGGTTGACCACGTAGGATGAGGAAAAAACAGGCATAAAAGCGTTTTGGAGCAAGCTTCCTAAGTGAAATGATTTTTTAAATATATTTTCTTTTCTTAACGAGTAGCGAAAGAAACCCAAACAACGAACGTGACGAGACTTAGGCAAAGGGAGAGCAGGCACTTTAACCGGTATTCAGTTTTTTTCCCCCGTGATTTATGAAAAATGTAACAGGTTCGGGAAGAAATAGCTTTTAAAAATGACTTTCTGTTTATTATTTCCGCGGCTTGTGATCATTTACTCTTGTCCACACAATATTCAAGCACAGACAGTTTAGGGCGAGATAAATCGTCACGTCATAAAATGGTTTATGCTTAAGTAATGAATCTCTCCTTACTCAATCTCGCTTCACTTCCACAGGCTCTTACATTATCTTATTTAAAAATCACCTCGTAACAGTAGCAATTACTACAATATTTCAATCCCCCATGAAATCTTGCAAAAACAAATAGATGAAACCCCCCACATTTAAAATCACAGGTATCTCGAGACAAACCTTTTCCTAAACCCGAAGATAAGCGTTAGGGTATCACAGAGTGAGGGGAGATTTGCACATTACCGGGTATGGAAAAGCACCGCCACGCCGTGGGGCTCAGACCCGAGCCAGTATTCCGGCCGGGAAAGCCGTAAAACCCCATTAACACCGCGGAACGCAATTAAATACATGGAGGTTTATTGCATCGCAACGTCAGCTTCATTTGGGAGTTTCACAAGGGGGGGGGTTGGTGGAAATACAATGAGAGCGCTGCGCTCAGGGTTGGCTTCATTCTTATTATCTTTTTTGGGTTTTTTCCCTTTTATTTTTTCCTTTTTTTCCCTTTTTGTCTTTCTTTTTTTAACTAATTTCCAGACCCTTATTTTCGAGGCCGCCGCGAGCTGCCCTCTCCGAAGAAACCACCCACATAATAATGACCCTGGAGAGCAACGCAAAACCCAACTGGCTTCCACACAAACTTCACCAAATGACGGGGCTCGCCTGAGGAGCAGGCGAACTGGCAAAAGCTTCTGTGAGGGGAGAAAAAATAAACCACCACAACGACCCACAAAGGGTTTGGTATTTTTTTAAAGGCAGTATCTAAAAGCCTCCACCACCAAGCTCCTGCAAAATCCTTCACTCCAAGTCTACTATCTCCAGGTGACCTTAAAGGCTTTATTTTTCCTTCTTACTCCAATGTTTTATTTTTCCTTTTCTTCCTTATTTCCTTTCTTATTTTAATCCTCTGTTTCTTTCTTAATCTCTCTCCCCCCCCCCCTTATTTCTTTCTATTTTCTTCCTCTATTTCTTCCGTTCATTCTCTCTCAATGTGTCTACCTTTTCCCCATCCCTTTTTTTCTCTCCCTTTCACCTTTACACTACGCTTTTCAAGGAAAATTGTCACTTATACAGATTTCCACCATCTCTGATTTCTTAAAGTGCCTCCCTTCTTCATCACCCCACCCTTTTCTTTCTCCCCCACCCCTGAATAGAGGATATGTGGAATGGAATAGAAAAGGCAGCTTAACAAATGCATTTTCTCAAAGAAAATATTAAACGAAGAGAAGCGTATTATTCCCTTACCTTTTGACGTCCATTTCTGTGGCATAAGTAAAATAGGGAGGGAGAGGGAGACAGCGTTTGCTTATCTGTTAGCTGACAAATATTGTCCCAACCTGAGAGCCGTCGATCGCCTCTCTGACTTGTGAGAGCTTCTTGCATTTCTGTCATTTGCATAGAAAATGGAGCAACTTCCCTCTTTGAAAAATGATAGCCTCCACTCGGTCCAGAACCTCCTCTGCCCCTCCATGACTACCGAGATTCCAGATCAGCAGCAAATTAAGAGAGGAATTAAAATAATAATAAAAAATCAAAATAAAATGAATAATCAAAAATCTTACAACTCTTTTCCTACGTGCGTGCGGAGATGGGTGCCTGGGGGTGCGTGCGGGTGTGTGCAGGGCTGCTCCCCCCCTCCCCGCTCCCCTCTTTTAGCCCTATCGAGCTTATACACAAAAGTAAAAAAATATAAAGAGGCGAGAGCCCTATAGAGGACACTGATCCGACCCAAGGTGCAGCGGACAGAAGAATGGTGCAATATAACCACATGGGAAATAATAAAAAGTTCATGTTCACGGTTAGCAGTCCACATGACCGGCTCTGGCCAATCCCAGAACCCAGCCACTCATAAAGTTCTATCACAAAGTTGTAAATTTTCATAAAACAACAAGGAATTTATTGCATTTCTTCATGACCGGTTTAACAGCAGCCTTTTTCTTAGCCGCCATCTTTTTTCTTTTAAACAAAAATAAAAGAATCTAAAAGGGGGTTCAGGGATTTCCAACCCCCCCCCCTTTGGTTTTCATGGGGGGGTATGTGGAGGGCAATAATCGAAATACGCTTCACCCGTTAGGCTAGGAACAATGAGAGCCCCCCCAGAATAAAGAGCTTGAGGCTGGCGTTGGTTTTTACATGGGGAAAGGCGCAGTAAAACAGTGGGGTTCGCTGGGATTTGGATGGCTTTTTTTTTTTTTCTTTCTTCCTTTTTTCTTGATGCAATTGGGATCGTTTCTGCTGAAAGGGGCAATTATCAGAATTTGGAGGGGGGGGAAGGGAGGCAAATACAGGCAATGAAAGCGCGGCCGGGGTGTCCATGCCCTGGGCTGGGGGGGGTCGGGCCAGACACCCCTAAAGAGCCCCCGGAACCCCTCCCAAGGCCCACTGCAGTCCCTGTTATAGCAGGGTGCGTGTGTGTGCTCCGGGAAGGTGGGTCACCCCGAGGGAACCCACTGCCCTGGCTTTAGCACATGGAACTGTGACTCCCTTTGCCTTATTTTCATGGAATTCTCCCCAATTCCTACTCGCCCCCCCCACCCCTCGCAGAAGTCGGTGTCAGGGGGGCCACTGCGGTCCGGGAACGGGTGGGGGGAGGGAAATATCTGGAACTGCTTCTCCTTTTTTCCCCTTTTCTTCCCTTCCCCCCCCCTTTTTTTTCCTTTCCCTTCCCTATCCCCGCTCTGCACAGAGCGCTCCCGAAGGGGTTTCACCGAGGTAAAAGGGAAATTTCCCTCTATTTTCCCTTCCTTTTCAGCGTGCAAACCCCGTAATAGCTGCTCCCCGTAATGACGGGCTTCCCATAATTAGTACATCCCGCATAGACTGCGAGTCTGTGCTAGAGACGTGGGCGCGCAGATGCTTGACGTGGCTTCTTATTTGGGGTAAAACCTGCTGAAGGATGCGCTGCGCGCCTTCACTTCGGCCATGGAGCATCGATGGTTGTAGGTGGTGGAAGATGGGGAGGCGGGGGGATGGAGAAGGTGCAAAACGGCCCCGCTGGCTACTTCCACCATCGGCTGCGATAAATTTTTTTCCCCTTGTGCATCTTGCGCAGTGCATTTTATGAGTAAATTACGCGGAGCCTCCGCGGGAGGAATCCGCAGCTTTACTGGCAATGTAAATAAAGAGGCGGGAGGGGGAAAGGGAGGCGGAGGATGCGCCCCTGCGCAAGTGCTTAGGTTTACTCTCCTTTTGTTTTGCATTGTTGATTTTTCCTGCCTTTAATTGCTTTAATTTCTTTTATGCGCGCTTTGATGCTAAACACTATTTGGGGCTGATGAAAGAGTTCCAGTCCGCAGGAAAGTAATTGAAGGGCGGAGGGAGAATCGAGACAAAATAAAATCCTATAGGCACGGCGAAATAGATAGAGTTTCTGCAAATTAGTTACGAGAAGAAGAAAATTAAAACCAGGAGCGGAAAGACCATTTGGCCTGATTCTTGCTTCTTTACGTTCGTCTTTTATGCCTTACCTTTTTCAGTCATAGCGCCAGCGCAGTAACAGGGGCAGAAGGGAGACCAATCCACCTTTAGAGCCCCGAATGTCAATTTTATATTACTATATTCGCCAAATCTATCGGAAAGGTACTACAATTTTCCAAGGAGTGACTGTCCTAAAATAAGAGAGAAGTTTAGGATGATAGATGGGGGCATGTATTAATCTAAAAGGTTCTTTTAGTACATTTATTTGAGATGGGAGAAAGCAATTCCAAAAGCCCGTATGTTATTCTAAATAAGAAACCAAGTTAGGAGCCCAACGCGGTTGTGGATTATTGGAGATTTCATTTTTATTTCGAATAATAATAATCACAGACAAAGGGGTAAAAAAAACCCAAAGCAACGCATCGCCATTAAATAATTTGCTACTTTGATATACAACATTTTACGTAGCACAATATTAATTCATCTTCTTTTGTGGTTTTTGTTTTCGTAGAGACTTGAACAACGAAGAAATCCAGGTAAAAATATACACAGAGGAAAGAGCATAGCGGGGAGAAAAGAACCGCGGAGGTTGCAGGGAGAAGGAGTAACCATCATTCCTATTATATACAGGACTCTATACGCTAAGCGGAATTTGCATTCAGACTTTTCAGATCACGTTTTCTAAATTAAAGGTGCTAAACACGACCACGTTACTTCATACCGAAAATACACAGCGAAGTACAAACGGAGCTTTACCAATTACTTGGACTATAGGAAGACTCACATAGAAAAGTGTGTCTATTCTGACTCTAAAGCCACAGGAATAGGTAGATCATCATTCTATTGTACAAAAAAAAAAAAAAAGACTTTCATATAGGTAGTATTTTTTTCAGTGTCATGAAACACAACGTATCATTCCTAGGGTTTTTAATTATTTATGCACTTATCATTTATCTATTTTAATATATAGTCTTTTTTTTCTGTGTGTTTTCCCCCTCTTTCTTTCTCGCGTGGGTTTCCACATTTCCTGCCTCCATCTCTTGCCCTTTTCACTCTTCCTCATCGTCCTCCGCATCTGGTTTCTCCTGGCTGTTGGAGCCGGAGCAGGCAGTTTTATTTTCCTTTTTCCACTTCATGCGCCTGTTCTGGAACCAGATTTTGATCTGTCTCTCGGTGAGACACAGGGCATGGGCGATCTCGATGCGTCTCCTCCTCGTCAGGTACCGGTTGTAGTGGAATTCCTTCTCCAGCTCCAGGGTCTGATACCTGGTATAGGTCTGGCGGCCGCGTTTTCTGTCGGTGCCTGCGAAATAAATGCAGATTCGGATCAGATGGGGCGGTCGGGGGAGATGTTTTGTGGGCTCATGGTCTAGTTTGCTCTCTTACTGCTGCCATTGGGACCCATGGAAGGACAGAGCCCTCGGAGGAACTGTGCAACCTGCGACATCCCTTCTTTGAATTCACAAGACTGATTCCTTCTGCTCGAAGCTTTCCCCTCCATGTTCTCAGGCCCCAAACCACCCCAGCTTTAATTTCCCTTCATCTCGGAAAACCGACCCGTGGTTTCTTTTTGGCGTGTCTCCGAATGAACAGCAAACTTCAGAAAGTTTCCTGCCCTCGGAGCACGGCTCAAACACTCAGCTCCTGCTTTAATTTTCATTTAAACACCACCGATTTTGGCTGGTTGGGGAATAAATATGGAACCGCAGCCGAGCAGAGCCACAGACGCATCTGCTACCTACACAAATCCAACTATTTGTCCTCTCTTAAAGCTGTCATCAGGGTGCCTGCTTGGAAGGTGTGTGATGATCTTAATTATTTCAGGGGATGTTTTGGGCCAGGCAGTGACTTCTGGGGCTCTCAGGGGAGCTGCTACCCCTCTTGCAGGGGTGGTACATGGATGAGAAGCGCCCCAACACTCCCCCCACTCTTCCCCTCACCCCCAGCTGCCTGCAGCAGGGCTTGGAAAGGGCCCAGCTCCTAATTCTCCCTTCCACCAGACATTTCCTGCAGCCTGATTGGAAATAGTTCTACAATATGGTGTTTGTGATCCCGACTCTGTTATATGCAAACGCTACATATCTCTCTAGTATAACATATTCCTTCCTCAAGCAGAGGCGATGGTGAACAGCAGCTCCCGGCCTCTTCTCCACACATTCCACTGGACTCCTCTTCTTCTTCCCTTCTTTTTTTGTTCTTTTTTTTTTTTTTTCCCACCCCTCTTTCTTTTTAAAAAGAAGAAAAGATCCAGTCATTAAAAGGAGAGGGGGGAAAAAAGGCAAAATAGCCAGGCTAGCTGTAAAGTAAAACTGTGCAGGTCGTGGAATGTGGGTTGTAAAATCCGCTGAGGGGAGAGCCATAAACTGCTGCTGAATAGGGATGACAACTCTATCTCTGCTCGCTGATGAAATTCCACAAGCGCGATCGCACAGTGGGCATGAGGCACGGGAGGGGGGGACGACGACCCTTCTTTTACGACTGAGGTCGAGTTTCTCTGGTTTTAGGCTCAGCAGATCCCAGAGTATCCCAGGTTTTTTGAGTGCAGGACCCCACGTTTACCCTGTTTCCTCTCCAGTGTTGACCCTCGCAGTGTCACAGACTAAACGGGGGCGAAGAAGGGGGGGCTTCTTAAATCTAAAGCCAGATAAAAGCAAAGATGAAGTGTTTATGACCAGAAATATTTGGTCTTTGATAAATCCACTGTAAAGCTGCATGAAATATGGAGCAGGTAATGGAAAGAGCTGACCACCAAGTAAGTGTGAGGGTAACTCCTGCCTTTATAAGCTTCTGTACATTGGCTGCTTCGGTGTTTTCTTTTCCCTGGGCTTCGCCGGGAGCCTGGCCCACAACCCCTCACCCCAGGGTCACAAAGACCCGTTCCGAACGAGTCTGGCAGGGCAGAGACGAGGCCGGGACGGCTGAAGCTTAGACTCTCGCCTTCCCATCCGCTCCCAGCTGGGACAGCAGCGCCTTCCACATCCCCCCGCTTGGGATTGCACTCTGGTAAACATCATCACGCGTGCACAAGGACAGAGGCCGGGCTGCTCCGAGCGGGGGGGGTCCCGTCAAGGGGGAACCGGGGGAGACCAAAGCAGAGACCGAGGAGGGAAAGGGGGGGAGCCGGTGCCGCTCCCGTTCGAGGGAAATGGATATTTATTAAACATTAATTGACATTAATACCCTGGGATGGAGCGCTCTGGGGACCGAGACAGAGCGTACGCGTGGGGCATCGTGTCCCTGCGTGGGGCCGCCCCCTCTCCGCTCTCGCGGAGCGCTGCGCGGCCTTCCGCGGGGCTGCGCTGCTCTGCTCACCGGCAGGGCCACACCAAGCACCCAGCGGTCCCCACGGAACGTTTGCACCGCACCCCTCCGCAATGAGGTTTTTCAGGGTGTGACATAGCTAAACATGTTCTCTCCACTATATCCGTGCGTCCATCCTTCCATCCATCCATCCATTCATCCATCCATTCATCCATCCATCCATCCGGATTCCGACCCGAGTGTCACGGTTTTGAGAGCGGGGCTTTTTAATCGCACCGGGAATGATGTGTTGCTGTTCCCGATGGAAACACGCTACAGTTAATTGCAGTGTCCGGGATATTGTGGCTGGGGGAGTGAGGGGAGGGACTGGCAAATGAAGGTTTTGCAGACTAACAGACAACAAAACAGGCTTGCAAGCGCCTCCCATAAATAGTTTCTTTCAGGATCTATATCTACATGGGGGTATCACCATCTCTATCCTGTAAATAGAGGAGAAGAAGGGGCTGGCCATTATTTCTGCAGCTCTGCCTGTCCCCTCTAAGACAAACTGCCTTTTGCATGGCACATACACAGCCCCAGCAACACCAATAAATATTTAAAGCTAAAAGGATGGCTTTATGGTAGGAGGGAGGGGTGGGGGTGGGGTGGGGTGGTCGCTCTCCCCCTCTCTCTTTTGAAGATGCATTTTCAGTGAAACGTCATGAAAGGAGTTGGGGACAATTCCCCCCTCCCCCTCCTCCGCCGCCCCCCCCCCTCCGCACTCCATCAAATAATTTACGCTCCCCCCCCCTTCCCCCGGGCTCCTTTCTTTAGGGTGGCTGGGGCTTACCTGTGCTCCTCATCCAGGGGTAGATGCGGAAGTTACTGTCGCTTTGCAAATCTGAGTCCCTTTGGTCCGTTTTGCTGCAATTCTGCTTGGAGGCATCTCCCGGGCACATCATGGAGAGGTTTTGCTCGAAAGGGGAACAGTGCATGTTGAAGGAGCCGGGCTCCAGGCCGTAACCGGAGGAATACATGCTGGGGGGCTGGGGGTGCACGGCGCTGCCGCTGGAGTACAGCCCGGGCATGGAGGCGGCGAAGGGAGGCGTGGATCCGGCCCCATACCCCGTTCGCTGGGTGTTGGAGGCGAAAGCGCAAGAAGTTTGCTCGGGAAAGACTCCGGATGGGAAAACCGAACTTGCGGCTTGATATTTAGAAAATAAAGCATTCGCATAATACAATGAACTCATAATTTGGCCGGGTGATTTGTAGGTCGGGACGTTTTAGTGTCGGTTTTACGAGGTACCGTGATATATTACGGAATTAGAGTCCAGATTTACACCAAAAGGAGCCTTTTTCCTCCCGGCCCGGTGACGCGCGGGCACGTGGCTCCGGCGGCGCCAATCGCCGCCCGCGCCCTCCTCGGGGGCAAAAAGCTGTAGAGCTGCTGGATTTATAAAATATGATAAATAATTGATGCGATATAAACCCCTCCAAGATCTATGCTGGAAGGGGTGAAATTGTGCTGGAGTCGATAAGCAACCTGTAATCAGTTTTCAGCTCAGACCGAGGGAGAAAGAGAAAAGAGGAGGAGGGGTGGGGGGTTAAAAGCACGTTGCTGATAAACCAGCGTCTCCCTCTCGGTCTCTCTCTGCTGGAGGAAAAGGAAGGGAGCTCTATTTATCCCTTTATTGATCCCGTCTAAAATTCCCTCCTTCGCACCATTTGCCCGGCTCCGAGGTACTTTTTCACAAGACTGTACATAATTCCCTCCCCCGGCTGACCCCTTTGCCCCTCTTCCCCCCCCCCCCCCCAAAAAAAAAGACAAATGTCTCATTGATACCTAATAGTTTAATAGTTTCAGGGCTCTTTTTTTCCCCCAAATGCCATTCAGCTCTATCTGTAATTTATTCCAGTGCCACAGGCTTTGAGCTTCGTATCGAGCTGGCATTTGCTTTTCTTGTTGCGAAAAAGGAGTGTATACAGATCCCTTGTTCGGCGTGTCAGCGGTTCTGCGGGGCTCAATTGCAGTTAGAAGTCAAACCTCACCAGCTGGCTGCTTTGCTTTCTGCTGGAGAAGTAGAGAGAGCTTCCAAAATGAGGGGGTTTTTTTTCCTCTTTTCTTAGGGAGGGTTAGGCAAAAGGCAAAGCTTATATAGGCAGGAGCAGCCACCAGACAATGGGGGCTGTGGACCTGGGGCTGATGCTGTTTCTCCTTTCCCAAGGTTATGTTTCAAGGCGGGGGGTGGGGGGGGGGTGGGAGTGCTGTGCATCCCCACACTCCTCTGCTCCATGGCAGGGCAGCTCCAGGAGCAGAAAACAGCTCAACTGCGCGACTGACACGTCTGTTTTTTTATTGCAAGGGGCTGAGTGGGAGGAAGGGAAAGGAGGACCCGGAGCTGGGCTTCGTCTGGCAGGGCCTGGGGAGGAGGGGAGACGGGGAAAGGAGGAAAGAGAAGGGAGGGGGAAAAGCAGCAAAACAGCAGACGTTACCTTCAGGAAGGATTTCCACAGCCTCCCAACCTGTCACCACCCAGGAGCTCTGCTGGGAAGCACAACAAGAGCAGGAGCCGCCGCCGCTGCGCGCCCCTCCCCGCGGCGCCCGGCCGCAGCCCGGCCGCAGCCCGGCCCCGCGCAGCCCCGGCCAGGGCACAGCAGCCTTTGATGGCCGGGCTGCAGCTCCCACACAATTGACTTTTATTTCCTTTCTATCAAAGTGGTCCTGGAGGAAATGGAGCAGGGTAAAAGAATGATGTCACGGGATTCTCGCTTGTAAACTTTATTGTAACTTTCTTCCGCCGCTTCCAGGTTTAGACAATAGAACAAAGTGATGAAAGAACAACAAAATATATCATTAGTTCCCCCAATAAAGTAATTCACGTATACAGTATACATTCTTTTTCACAGTTAACCTAAAGATCACTTTACAACTTGCTTCACTGTGCGCATGCTAACTAAAGGAGAGAAAAAACGCCTTTTTTTCTTGTATTTTTTCTTTTTTTCTTTTTTCTTTTTTTTTGAAGAGACATTTTAAAAGTGTAAAAAAAAAAAAAAAAGAGAAAAAGAAAATCCCGAACCAAGGCAAAGAACAGAAGCAGGGAAAGCAAAGAGAGAAGAAGAGATAACTATAGCATAAATAGGCAGTTTCATGTTGTTGGGATGTTTGTCTCAATAGCTACCTCCAGTACATACAGATAAACCACAACAAAAAAGGTGGAAATTCAACAAAAATCAAAGAAAAAAGTGCACAAATGTAATTTCACGTAACTTCTATAGCATTGAAAGCTAGGTTAACCAACCCACCCCCCCCGGACAGAAGAGAGAGACAGAGAGAAAGACAGAGAGAGAGAGAAGATTTCACAGTCATGTTTTACATAAGCTATTGCGTTACACTACCACTAGTTAATAACTGGCAAAAGGCAGGAGAGACCTCCCGACCACTTTTGCATACTGTTCATTGTATCAAAGGATAATCAGGGAAGTGGTGCTTACAGCTATATTGTTTTACAGCAATAAAAGGTTTCTTTTTTTCTTTTTTCTTCCCCCCCCCTTTTCTCTTTTCTATGCATTGTTGGTTTTTTTCCCACCCCTTCCTTACATTAACTGCCATTAACGTGGGGCTCGGGGGCTCTGCCACCCCAGCAGCGCTTGCCTTTCAGTCCTTAAAAATCCTTTTATTTCTTGTCCGCCTTCTGTGCTTCCCCTTCCTCGTCCACCTCCTGGGCTCTTTCCATTTTCTGTTTTTCCAGTTCTTCCTGCTCGCATTTGCTGCTGGGAAACTTGTCTTTGTTGTTTTCCTTTTTCCATTTCATCCTCCTGTTCTGGAACCAGATTTTGACCTGCCTTTCTGTCAATCCCAGGGCATGCGAGACCTCGATCCTCCGTTTGCGGGTCAGGTAGGGATTAAATAGAAATTCCTTCTCCAGTTCCAGGGTCTGGTAGCGGCTGTAGGTTTGCCTCCCCCTCCTCCGTCCAGCGGCTGCTGGGGAATTGCAAAGGTTGGGTGGAAGAGGGGAAGAAGAGAAGGAGGTTGAAAGATACATAAACCAGGCTCGGGAATAGGCACACACAGGCTCACACCCGCTCGCACACGCTCACACACACTCACACACGCAGGCACGGGAGGGGGAGGAAGAAAGGACTGGCAGGAGCGAAGTCAGGAAGCGGAGAGGGAGAGGGAAAGGCTCCCGTAGAATATTATACAAGGGAAGATGGTTCTAAAGGAAAAGGGGTGATGGTGGCACGGAAGGGGGGGTCACCCACCAGCCCAGTCCGGGCAGCTTAGCTGAAGCCTGCACTTGCACACTTATTATTACCCCCACCACCGCCACCAGCACAACAACAACAACAGCAGTCTCCGGCTCTTTGGGATGCCGCAAAGAGAGAGAAAAAAAAAAGAGCTGCAGCCCAGGGAGAACCAGCAGCACCACCGAAATCCCAAACCAAATGCAAAACAAAAATGAAGGGGCTTTTTGAGGCTATAAAAGTGCCATAAACTTTAAGGACGCTTCCTTCCACAGAAAGCCAGGCTCGCTCAGCCCCCAGAAGAAAAGGTCTCCTTCAGGGTAATTAAACTATAAAGCAATTTACAAGTGCAAAAGTTTACCCCCATAAAGCAGTAAAATACAGTCACTGGGGAAGAAAAAGGGAGCGAGAGAAAGCGAGCAAGCGAGAGGGGCAGCGAGAAAGCGCGGGGGCCAGCTCTCCGGGCTCGAGAAATGCCTCCTCGGTTCCTTCCCACCTCGCCTCACCTTGCGGGCGCATCCAGGGGAAGAGCTGGGTCGGAGAAGGGCTCTGCTCCGAGCTCTCCGCCTCCTCTCCGAGGCCGCTGGCAGCGAGCTTGCAGTCCGTGTACTGCACCAAGTCCGAGTCCTGGGCGCTGAAGAGGCTCTGCCTTTGCAAGGGGTCGTAGCCATAGAAGTTGCCGGGGTCCCCATGGCACGCCACGGCGCAGGGATTCTGTTGGTAAGGGGAGCTGGAGAGTGAGGATGCTCCGTGGTAGAACTCCTGGATTTGGGTCGGGTGCTGGAAGGTGCCCCCCGTGCTGGGTCCGTACACCACCGTGGGTCTGCCCCCCAGATCCTGAGCGAACCCGCAGTCATAGTAGTTGGGACGTAAGGAGTCCCCGGTTTTGTATTTGGAGAAGAGTGAGTTGACAAAATAAGAGCTCATTTTAATTGAAATAAGAATATTTGTTTGGAGGAGGAAGAAAATTTCACCAAAAAAAAAAAAAAAAGAAAAAAAAAAAAAAGAAGCCAACCAAACCCAGAGCTCGGGAATCTATTAGGAAAAAAAGAACGCGCTAAGATGCAAAGCAACGACACTTTGTGATTTCCAGGAATATAAAAGGAGGATATAATCAAAACTCTAAGCCTGCATGATATTGAATTCCTTCCTCCCCCCCCACCCCTAAAAAAAAAAAAAAGTCGCCACTTAAAGAGTTCTCGCTTTACATTTCCAAGAAGAGATGCCAGTTCATAAACAGTTTTCAGTGATTTACTTCAGCGCAAATGAGTTGTTTCATATTTTGCAGTGTCTTTTCATGATCATTTGCATCTATTACCAAAACCTCATCCTATTGGCTTCTCCTTACTCCACACGGACTCTGCACCGCATGATTGTGAAAGGAAGAGTGTGAGAGAATAAAGAAGGAAAAGCGAGCGAGGGGGAGCGAGAGGGAGAGGGAGCAAGCGAGGGAGCGGAGGGGAAGGGGAAGGAGGTGGGGTGAATATACGGATTAAATATGTTTAACTACCTCCATTAATGAGATATCGCTCGCCTCACAACAAATCACATACCTAGGCCACCCAAAAGATTGATTTTTGGGGAGTGTTGGAAAATTAAAGAGTAGCGCTCGCAGTCGTTAATTTCGAAATTTTAACGAGGCAGTTTTAGCCTTTTTAAATGTCAGGGTCGCTTTGGAAAACTGTAAAAGAACACGATTTAATTGCTACCAGTTTTAAAAGGTCCTATAAATGTAATTGGTATTTTAATACAAGTTATCAAATCATACAGCTTCTTACCCTAAACATATTTTAAAACAAACGAGGTAGTCATATTTAACATTTTAATGATCAATTTCCTTATTATTGATAAAGGTTTAACTATCACATGAAGGGAATTGCATTTGTAATAGCCCCAAAAAAGGCTGTAAACTGTTTAACAAACTATAAAACGCCATAAAGCCGGGGATGTTGTTGTTGTTTATACCGCACTACATAAAAGCCGTTAGGATTTTACGAGTTCGTTCCTCCACTGCAATAAACCAGAGGTTTCGATTGGACCCGTCCGCGTTGCAGCGAGATGTTGAGGTGTCAATATTGAATTCAAATGATCAGAGTTTTCCATGTATAAGGTTGACTTTCCGCCTTTCTTCCCCCCCACCCTTTTCCTCCAGGACTTGGCCAAGATGCGATTGGGGGCGATTGGGACTGGAAGTGTCATGTCGCTTATCGCACCCAGACCAGAACCTTTCTGGTCAGTAGCTGATGGCTGTTCCCTACCTCAACCCCTCCCCAAGAACTTCCTTTTTATTTATTTAATTATTTGTTTCATGATACCCCCAATGAAAACTGGGAGGAGGGGATTGAGGGGGGGAGTGTGGGTGAGAGGCTTTCTATTTTATTGGCATTTGGTAACAACGGAGCAAACTTACCCCTAAGATGCCAACGTTGCAATTTTCCACCATCTAAACACACAGGGGGTAGATTTTGAAATTCATTTATCGCAGTCAGCAAATATTACTGAGACGTATTTCAGCTAATAACGACACAACCCCCCAGCCCAGCGCTGCCCCAGCCTCTCACTATCCCAGGTCTATTTTCCGATCCTTCAACCTTCAATAAGACTTAAAGGCACTCTTTTAAATCTCTATTATTTAATTCCACCGCCCCCCCCTTGCCCTGGGTAGATTTTTGCTGTTTCCCATTTCATCCTTCTGTGCGGTTTTGACACGGGAAAGGTGAATTAAAAGCGGTTTCCTTGCGCCTGCCTTCAACCAAGGGACTACTTTCAACCTCCACAACATGGAAAAGAGGAAAAAGTTGCGGTGTTTCGGTTAGTCTGTCTTGCCAGGGCTTTGGGCGAGAGAATTAAAAATATTGGATTAAAATTGGCAGTGGGAATAGGCAAGGAATTAAGAAAGAGAGAAAGAAAGAGAGTGGGGAAAGAAAGAAAACAAAGATAGTAAAGGAGTAAAACTTTAAAACCATCTTCAGAGAAATAATTTAAGTAAATACGTTTCCTTTATTTTGTGTTGGGATAATTTCAGTCGAGTCTAAGAGCCTTTTCAAGTAATTATTGTTGTTGGAGTACTTGCAGCGGTATAATTAAGGCTTTCCTCCCCTAAAAGACAAGTTGACGTTTTCTTTTTCCCAACACTTTTATTGTCGATTGAGCAGCTTTTGGTTTCGTCTTTGAACATAAACCCCCGAAATGGTGCACACGAGTAAATAGAGCTTCACAGCCTGGCGTGGGGATGCTCGAGTTTTCAAGAAGGGCAAATAAATATAAAAGGAAGAATTGACTAAAGTATTTTTTGAAGAGGAGCTCTCTCCTATGTGTTTTTACTGGCGTACCCCCTTCCATTGAAGTTCGTAAAGTAAAAAATAACAGGAATTCCCTTTCATACGTGGACCCCATGAATGAGGGAGTGAAGTTGTTCTTGGAAGTTAACATTTTTATCAAGTACAGTAGAATTTTATGGTCATGATGTAATGGTAACTCACCAACGCACCAGAAATCAATGGCTGATCTTAAATCATTCCTATACTGTACTCAGATTCCTGATGAAAGGGAAATGTTTCTATTATAAGAAAAAACAAGCGGGGATGTGTGTGTGTGTGCATGTCTCTGAGAGAGAAGATAATTTATAAATACCCAGTGGAGGAAAGATTTATTAGGAATTCATAAGAAAAAAAAAAAAGAAAAAGGAAAAAAATAATAAAAGAACCCCAAACCCTCCTAGATAAACCTGAAGTTTTCCTGCTCTGCCTTTTCCCGAGTGCACAAGGACAGGATCTGTCTTTATTTTCCCCATCTATGCCTGTTTACGTTTCTATTTCATTTTATAGCGTTTAAACAGGGCCTGGAGATGCTTAAGCTCTTAAAACAACACATCGCATCCTGCTCTGTTGTGTGTGTCGGGTTAATTTGTTACATTCTCGTCCAGAATGCTGCTCACCGAGGAACGGGCTTATTTTCTGGTGTGGCTTCCGAAAAAGCATTGATTCAGAAAATACCTGGTTTATATCGGTTTGAAAGAGAATTTGAAACCTTTGCCACAGCTCCTTTCCATGTTATTTGGAGCTGAATTTGCAGCTGAAGGACTGGAACGTCTGAATCATTTTTGTCTTGTAATTTTGAAGAAACAAAGGCCAAAATAAAAGTGAACTAATAGAGTTAAGAGTTTACATCTTGGCTGCTGCATCAGTGGCGTATTTATACGTGTCACAAAAGGCGGTGAGTTAATGGCATTTTGGATTAATTTACTGGGCTTTAGCATTTAAAAATACTTGCAAAGGGAGTTACCAAAAGATGGAGCAACTGTACCCAAAATGACTGGTTCAAATTCCAACAAAAGCATATATTGGGTTTTTTTTTTTTTAGGAGATGACTATGGGTATTAGAGATATAAAAGAAGGAGAAAGCGCAGATCATTCCAATGGCTTAGGTAAAGAGCCAGGGGACAATGTCCTGACTCTGTTTGTGCCTTTCTTCCCGAAACCTTCGAACCTCTTTCCCCATCCTGCAAACGTAAATCTTCGCTTTGGAGATCATGAAGCAACCTCCTGCCTCCACCTGCACCATCAGAAGACAAAACGCGAGGCATTTTTTTCTCCCCTTTAAATGAACATTTAAAATAGATGCATGTCCCGTCTCTCCCTGGATCTCAGCCTCCAGATTAAGTCTCTTTTAAAAATATTTATTTATTTATTTCAGCCTCACATAATTTACCCTCGCAGGGAAAAAAATAGATGTAACCTATAAAATTGGCAAAATAGCGATAATTAACCCTATATTTTATGCCTCGGGATTATTCATGCTCGCCGGCAAACAGCCGTTAATGAGATCAAGGTGTTACGCGGGACAACGCGGCCGAGCGCGGGAGACGCGCGTCTAGCGTGGAGCAAGGGCGCCACCTCGCGGCGCCGTGAGGCGCTGCAGCCTGAGCAGAGGGGCTCAGAGGTTTCCTTGGGGAGGAAGGCAGATAAAGGGGGGTCCCACTCGGACCTGGAGGAATAAAACGAGCCAAAAAGCGAGGGGAGGAGAGGGGGGAAAGAGGGGGAAGAAAAGGAAAAGCAGGTCCCTCCCCCTCGCCCCGCAGCGCTGAAGTTTTCCGCGCGGAAAACTCTGCCATCCAGCCGCTCTGCCCCGCAATAAAAGAGGCAAAATGGGTTCGCTTTTGAAAACCGCTATTGTTTCAAATCCCGAGACTAAACAATTGGTCATTCTGTTCTGCAGGGGGAAAGGCCCGAGCTGTAAACCCATAAAGAGCTTCCCAAGCCCAGACGTCTCGCCAGGGTTTGGAGTGTGGGGGTGCCCCTTGTGTGTGTGTTGTTGTTGTTGTGTGCATGGCTCAGCATTCTGGCAGCCTGGAATTTCTTTAAAGGAAAAAGAAAAAAAAAAAAGGGGGGGGGGGGCGAGAGAAGAAGAAGGGAAAAAAAAAGAACAAAGGGAATGATCCAGAGCGCTGGACTTTCACGGCATCTGCAAGAGAAGAATAAATTAGCAAAAGTCCCTCCCCACCTTTTCTCTCCCTCTCTTCTCCCTCCTCTTTATTTTCGATCTACCCCCTCCCTTAAGGAAAACCCAGAAAATAAAGGGGGGAAAAATAAAGAGGGAAACTTTGCATGTGACTGAAGCAGAAACAAGAGCATTTACACGTTGGGTTTCCCCACATTCCCAAGTCGTTGTAGTAATTTAGGAGTTCCTGAAAGTTTTCTTGCACTGTTTCCTTTACAGCCGTTTAGTTCCTTAACCTTCAGAAATTTATACCCTATAAAGTTTTATAGCGGTCATATTCTTTTATTGCAGCACACTGCACTGAATTTTCCCTTTTTTTTTTTCTTTTTTTATGACAAGTTACTTCCCTTTCTCTCTCTTCCCTCAGTAAGCTCCAAATATCTTCCTTCTTCTTTTGTTTTCTTTTCAGAGCTGCCCCAAAGAAAGGATTTTCTTAAAGGAGTGAAATATTGCCCTTTAGAGCGCCCATTATGTTAAAAATCAGTGGAAGGAGATTTTTGGTTATATTTCTCGCTACCTGTTTCCTGCAGGGCTGAGCAGGTCTTAGGGTTTGTTTGTTTTTTAAATATAGAGATAGAAACACTTCCTAAGCGCTTGTGTTTCTTCATGAGCAATAAAACGTCAAACGAATTCAGAGACGGAATTATAGGAACCTCTCATTGAGCCCTTGGAAAAAGGAACCGCGTGTCAAATCCGAGGTGATGCCACGCAGGGAAAGCGGGGTGGGGTTTCCCGCTGTTTGGTTTGGGTTTCTGATTTTCCTTTAGCAAAGTTTTCCTTGGGCAATGAGGGGAATAAACCAAGGGAAGTCAAATAACGCCAGTGCAACTCCGCGCTCCTGGTCCACTAAGGCTGCAAAGATTAACCCCTCAAAACCAACCAAATAAGCAACCAAGCAAGCAACTACCGGTAAATGCACCCCGAGATTAACGATCTCCAATTTAAAAACCAAAAATCAAATAAAACATGATTAAAAAGGCAGCAAGTTTGTGTGGGAGCGAGTAAGCACTTGCTGCTCCAGGGAAGAATTCTTTCCATATATTTCTGGGCATCCTTTTTTAAAACCTAAGCAAAAATTGATTCTTCTAATACACTTTAACGAGCCACTGAAGAAGGCAGGAAAAGAATGAAAATATTTCTGATTTTTTAGATGAAGCAGTAGAACACAATGACATATCGCTGCTGTTGTTCTAAAATCGATTTTTATTCTGGAGCATTAAACATCTCTGGAAAATACATCCGGGCTGATGCTACAGAAGACAGTTTTTCCAACATTTTTTTTCCTTTAAAGTAAGCATATTTCCTAATAAAATGAACTAACGTTTTAAAATCTATTTTAAAAGAACCTTATATTCGTCTTAAAAATAGCCGCTCTTTACCACAACTCTAAGGAAAGTGAAAAACGTTTCTAAGTCCCAGTGGCCGATGGGTTGCAAACCTCAATTAAGTCACGGATACGCTTCTGAAAAATATAGTAGTGAGGATTTAGGCAAGTCCATGCTCAGTTCGAGATGGGAGGAATATTCCAATTCAGCATGAAGCATTTGAAATTCATCCATCCTTGAGAAGAAGCAAATCAAACGGAAAGATCTGACTGCTCAGCTTAAACCCAGCGAAAAACGCCTTTTTCTACCCATTATCTGTTTGTTTCAATAAAGAAATGATCCTGCTGCCGCCACCTTCTTGATTTCCCCCAGCTCAAAATGTCTCCAAAAGAGCTTTTCTTAGTTTAATTTCTAGGAGGGAGATCAGGGGCTTTGACACGGGGTGAGGGTTGGTTACATTGAGCTCCCTCCGGCAACAGAACAGTTAAATTTGGGAGCCCCCAAGGAGCTACTTCAGGATGGAAAGTTTTACAGGAGAAAGTCTAGGCACTAGAAAAAAACCGCCCAGCAGACCTTCTGAGGGATGGAGTTTAACACTGAAGGTCCGGTTTCTTGTCCAGGGGAAGGTATTTTTTTATCCTTTCAGAAGGAATTGGAGAGGAGAAACTTTAGCCCTCCTCGAATCTTATCTCTGAATCCCGGGGGGGGGGCGGATGAGGGGAGCAGGAACACTTTCCAAAACCGAGAATCTGCCTATCGCTTCTTCCCAGAGTAATCCCTGCCCTGCAGATAAAAGTGGTCTCCCAGAACCTGGCGCTGAGGACACACGAGTCAGTCAGTTCTGAGATCAGATTTGCGCTGGTTCGTTCAGATATACAGCAGAAATGTATTTTCTCTCTTTCCCCCCTCCTCACCCCGTTACAACAAGCCACCTTACACTCGTCTTGTTCCTAGACAGCCTCCTGGCAGCTAAATATACAAATCTGCACAAGAAGAAAACGAGAGAGCTTTATTTCAACATTTTCCATCCACTATCAACTGCAGAACTCTTCGCATACTTAAGAAAGCCACAGTAGGAACAGAAAACGAGCTTCAACATTCACAGAAACACAACCACAAACACATTTTACGATACCCACCATATAATCAACTGGTACTAACCGGCCCCCCCCCCCCTCACCCCACCACCCCCTCCCAAAACAAAGTTAAGTCTTACAGAGATAAAGGGAAACCAGCCCCGCCCGGGCGGGTTGGTGAAGCCTCCAGCGGCTCTGTCAGATGAGAAACCAGTTCCGGACGGCGTGACAGGAGCCCGGCGAGGTCTGGGTTTGCTACTCAAAACGCTTCTTCGGGATGAGGAAAAGTAAAGGGGGGGCAGCGAGGAGAAACCGCATCCCCCGGTGCCACTAGCGGGACGAGGCTCCTTCCCCGGGAGGCTGCGGGCCCCGGCTCCGGCGTGGCACCGGGCCCCGGGGAAGGCGGGTGGCCATGGGAAAACGTGCCGGGAGCTGGCTTCAGGCATAAAAACCACCATAAAAACCAACCCCACCCAACACCCCCACCCCCCCCTCTCCACATTCAAGTATTAAAAGCATCTCAGCAAACAGGAGCGGGAAGAAAGACACACAGGCCAGGGCTGGCACTTCATCTCTGCAGCAGCTACTGCTTTAGGTAAAGTCAATTCACAATAAATTATAAATATGCTAGCACTAAGAACACAACCTTCCCCTCCCTTACAGCTCTACTAAGGTAGTTTTTTAACTAGAAAATCCCATTCTTCCCGTCCTCTAAAAGTTAGGAATAAGTTGGCAGGGGTTCTTCCGCCCCTTTTTCTCCTAAATAATTTACAACGCGGCTCTGAGAGTGCCCCACACACACTCTCTCGCCTCCCTCCCTGTCTTTTCTCCTCTTCCAAGTGACCCAGTATAAAACTACCAGATGAGGAGGTTTGCCTGTAAAGATCCTAGGAAACTTTCAGGTCAAAGTCGCGTATCTGCCATGGCACGATTATAATAAAAATCCCGCATAATAAAACAAGCCTTAAAAACAAAAAGGAAGGGGGAAAAAAGGAGGTGGAGGAATAAAAAGAGCCCAGAGCAGTTGGGAGTTGGGCTGTCATTAACCGACTGCCTGGTATAAAGTTGGCGAATTGAAAATGATTTGTTGGGTGCAATTAAACGCAAGTCTTACGAATGTGTCTGTCTTGCAGGAGTTTAATTAAATCGTCTGGTTCCTTGACCACCTCAACGTGTGAGTGTGTGAGGGGGTGTGAGAGTGTGTGTGAGAGTGCGCCGGGGTGTTGTGAACGTTATAGAGAATCATTGTCCTTACGTGGATAAAGACAAACAGCGAGGTTTGGTGGGGGCTCTTTGGGGCCACTTGTGTTTGCAGTCTTGTTTCCATGAAGAAAACGCAAGCAGGGAAAGCTGCTGCTCGGACAGGAGCCTGTGTCTATGTTACACTGTAGGGAGAAGAAAAGAAAAAGGCAACAAAAAGAAAAAATAGAGAAAGGAAACAAGAGACCAGAACAAAACCCAGCATGTGTCCCCAAAAAGGAGCTGCAGTTTTGGCTAAGTTGCCTCCGATGTGGCAATGCTAAGAAGATAAAACAGAAGAATAAGCAACATCTCGCATGCAAAGGTGGAGACTGGGAACGGGGAGGGTTTCCCCCCAGCGTCTGGGGGGTTTGGTAGCACTACAGGGGAGGCTGGGAGCTGGGGGGGTAAAGGGAGAGAAAGGAGGGATGCTGCTTTTCTGGGTTTTCATTCTTTGCCCTGCTCCTTGTTCATTTTCTTCATTTTCATCCTTCGGTTCTGAAACCAGATTTTGACTTGTCTCTCACTCAGGTTGAGGAGTCTGGCCACTTCGTGTCTACGGTCCCTCGTCAGGTACATATTGAATAAAAACTCCTTCTCTAGTTCCAGGGTCTGGTATTTGGTGTAAGGGCATCGTTTTTTCCGGGAGGAGCGGGCGTGCAGCCAGCTGGCAGCTGGGTTGGCTGAAAGAAAAGCAGCGAGATCAATACGGTGCAGCCTGAGTGTTTCTCAGAAGGTTTTAATCATGCCATCAAATATTAAGATTATACACACGCATGTGCACGGCCGGGTGAAAATGCCGCCTGCCCTGGGAGCCAGCAGTGGAGCCAGCAGGAAAATCACACGGGATCGGCAGGGCGAGCAGATGGCGGGGGGCCCGAGCCCCCCAAAAAAGCCACCACCCTCCTAAATTGGGGGCTGGGACACGCTGGACCGTGTGGTCTGTACTGACAGACCTGTGGCCGTGCACAACCCTGCCTGGGCACACTCATGTTGTCCTGCACATGCATGTTGGCCGTGCACAACCCTGCCTGGGCACATGCATGTTGTCCTGCACACCCCTGCCTGTGCACATGCATGTTGACCTGCACACCCAGCCTGTGCACACCCCTCCCGGTACACACGCATGATGTCCTTCACATCCTGCCTCTGCAGGGTAACATGCCTGTGCACACGCATGTTTTGGTGCACACGTGTCTCTGACAGAGCCCCCCCGCTTTGCCCCGGGCCCATCTATACCAGGTAAACACCCACATGCACTTAGAGATTTGCATAACGCCCTTCTCCACGTTACGCACCCTGTATACAAAGAAACCGACTCCAAAATTACATATATATATGTAATTCTTTACAGTCCTGTTTTCCCACGTGTCTACAGATTTATTCCTCCAGACACATGGCGCAGGAACAGAGCAGGGAGAGGAGGGCTGGAGAAACCTTGCATAAATCCTGCCTATTTCTTTTTCTGTGCTATGTGGCAAGAAACGGTCTCGATACAATAAACATCCTCTGAGGGCTGGGTGGACTCTGCTGCCGGAGGTCTGGACAGCGTTACCCGGAGACATGGACATTTGCAGGGCTGCAAATACAGCCAAGAATAAATAACAGGCTGCCCGTCACCCTCGCGTGTGGGAGAAGCTACGTGGGAATCTGTTGCAGAAAGAACATGACGGGAATTAGCCTATTCAAGGGGGGCAGAAAACAACATTTTAGGAGCTGAAGCCACCCCCTTGGCCACTACCGTGGTGAAGATCGCACCCAAAGGTGAAGTGGGTTTAGGGTAAATAATAGAGCGCCTACTAATCACATGCAAATAGTAGCTGCCCGTTGAGTAACGGAGAGGCGGGAAGGAGGAAAATGAAGGGTTCTAGACAGACCACGTATTTCTATTTTATTTCCTTTTGCCTCCTCTGAAATTATGACTGAAGCCATAAACCTTTACAGCAATTAAATGGACCATTATAAATATATACATACACACACGCGCGCCCCATCAGAACGTTTCCTCTACGCAAAATGAAATATATTGAATATTTTGGTAAAAAATAATCCGGTTAATCTTCCCCTGTAAGTACTGCCTCTTACAAATTTGCACGGCTATTTCCTTAATGTAATTGACTTGATCTAATATGCAGAATTAAATATTAAAGAGGAAGAAAGCTGTTAATAATTGATACTGTTAATCCTGCTACCCACCCTTTAATGGCAATGGAGGCTCTGCTTCCTAACAGAGTTTTAGGCGGTTTGGGTTTATTTTTTGGTCATATTTTGGATCGTTAAAATAGAAGCTATTTTAAACGCCGGTTTTGCTTTATTTATTCACTCTACACAAATCCCTGAACAGGGCAGTGAATGGAGGGAGGTCCTGGCACATCTTTTCTTTAAAATCCAGCAAATCATTTAACAGATCCCTGTGCCATCCACAGGGCAGAGATTCATTATGAAGAAATACTTCCAAAAATGTAAGGAGTCAGGGAAATTGGTGGGAGCCCTTTCTGCAATACAGCTCCGTCTTCCAGCCCTGGCAGGCTCTCAACATCAGCCCAAATTAAACTATTATTTAAAACAAAATATGCGTCGTAACCACATGCCAGAGAAACCACACAGCATCCTCTTAGCGCGGGTCCCTGCACTTACTTATAGCTTAATAACATTTTCTTGGACAAGATTTTTATATATTCAATTTCAGGGACATTGAGCACAGGACCTGGATATTTAATTCTCTCAAATCATTCACCTCACGGTTGCAGTTTGTTCTGGATCTCTGCCCAGTACAATAGAATAGGACTTTCTTTTTGTGTGTGGGTGTGTGTGTGTGAGTGTGTGTGTCTGTGTGCAAGTTAAATGATAGGAGAAGGGGGAAAAAAAGTCTCCCAAACATCCTGCACAAGGAGGGGAGGAAATCACGAGGGGAGAGAATATTCTGTGTTTTTAATCGTAGGGTTGCAGTGGCAATCTCTCTTCCACTTTGAGGGAAGGGGGGGATAGAAGTTAATGAAAGGGGAAAAAGAATGACTGTGTCAGTTCATCCTGCACAGGCTGCGAGGAGCTGGACCCTCGGCGGGGGCTGCTCCTCTGCCAGCTTGGAAAACTTGGGCTTTCACTGTAAAATATTTACGGCGGGGGGCAAGCCAAGTTTCCCTGCGGCTCCCACTCGGGCTGCGGCTCCGGTTACCCCCCGAAACGAGCCCGGGCACAGCCAGACCGGCACGAGGTGCACAAACGCCATTGCATTGATATGATTATCACTATCAGATCCATTATTAGAGTTATGATTACTAACAGCATTATTAATAGCATTATTGATGGTATTATTACATGTTTAAAAGGTGAATGGTTTGGGGGGGTCTATATTTCAGGGAGGGGAAAGACAAGGCAGATCGCAGAAAAAGCACATGCTGTAGTTTAACTGTTTCCCCAATCTGGCTACATTACAAATAAAAGCTAATTAAGCTAGAAGCCTCACTCCCCCCCCCCCCTTTTTTTTTTTCTTAACTAATAAAGAAGCGTGGCTTTGAAATATTCCTACCTTCAACCGTTGCATTTAATAAACAAACACCTAAACCCCCCAAATAACCCAGCTAGCCCGAGAAAACAGCCCCCCCCCCCTCCCTCGGCGGGCAGAGGAGGCCGGAGGAAGCAGCGAGCCGGTCCCGCGGCTACCGCAGTGTACCGGCCGCGGGCGCGGAGCAGCCCCACCGCTCTTCGCTCCCTCCCTCTCCCTCTCCCTTCCCCCCCCCCCCGAACTTCTCCTCCGTAATTTCGGGTCTTTCCCCCACCTTCTTCTTCGTCTCCCCCGACAGCCGCCTTCCGTTCCCTTTCCCGACCTTCCTCCCCGGCGTTTCCCATCTCCCTCAGTCCCTTCCCCTCTGCCCGCACCCGCGCAGCTTTGCCCCCGCTTACTAAAGTGGTCTCTGCTGCCGGAGCCAGCGCTCTGGAGGAGAAAGGATGACTCGCTCCAGCTTTTGTCCTCTCTGGACTCTGTTTAAGCTCAGAGACGACTTTCATTTTTGGTTTTATTTTTATTTACCGGCAGAGACAATGCCACCCCTCTCCCCTCCCCACCTCTCCCCTTAGGTTGGCACCCGCAAGCTGAGACTTTTCTTTAAGCCCTGATTTTAAACTTTACGCAGCATTGTCCCCTTTTATTGCACCTCCTCCAGCTTTTATACTGTTTACTTCCTCACTTTTATAACTTACTTTGATCTGTCCTGTCTTTGTCTTCGCTTCCTTCACAAACTTTATTGTCCTCGAAGCTGGGCCTTTGATTGGAAACGATCCCTTCCCTTGCAGCAGAAGTTTCTAAATTGTACTCCTGTGTCCCCTGTTTATGGACATCCCCGGGACGGCCCAGCAGCGGCTCTGCCTTAACGGCTCCCTGCCCGGGGAGGTTCTCTGCTCGGGGCACGGGGTCCAGCCAGCTCCGTAGATACCTGCCGTCAGATGGGACGCTTTGATGTTGAATATATGGATGGTAGACGGCAGGAAGGGTACCAGAAGAATGTGGATTCAAAGGAGTCCAGGAGGCGCTGAAAACAGGAGGTTTTGGCTGAAAACTACAGGAGGGGAATTCTAGATGCTCATTGTGCCCAGCTTGCCTGGAACTCGTATATTGCCCAGATGAAAATTTAGCTGAAGGCGAATCTTCACTTTCATGACTTATAATGGAGTCGACATAATAATTGCTAAGAGTCCCAGAAATGGACATTCTCAGACATCATACAAAGCACGGTTCAATGAAGGGAAAAAAATATATAGGACAGATCTAGATTTGTACTCTACCCCCTTCTCCAACTTCCCAGCCAACAAAGTACAGTTGGGCTGCTGTGTTGTGAGCTCCCAGCAAAATGATTGGTCAAACTTTTTTCGTGTGCCTGATAAAGCGTCAGTCTCGGCGTAAATCAATCGCAGCCGAGGGGGCTGCGCTGCGCTGTCATCCGCCCTTGCATTCCATATCAAGGATGGATTGTTTTATGTTTATGCAATGTTGCAAAACGTCAGGAGTTTCGAAAAAGCCACCAAACGGGCAAAGCTGGGGCTAAATCCCTTCCTAGATTTGCTTCTGAAACATTGGGGGACTCTAAAGGGGGGAAGGGGGCGGATATCTTTCCATTATTAATATTACATATTTTTAAAGAAAGATGCTGATGTGCTCGCTTTGCCTTTAATAACCATCAGGGGGGAATAGAGATAAAAGCTGTTCTTTGCCACTCGGGCTCCAGAGTACGATCGCAAAAACCCAAAGAATAAGTGCAAACCCACCCCCCCGCGCCATCATTTCATATACAGACATATATATGCGCGGGCGTTACAGGCACCTAAACGTAAATGCACGCATACACGCGTTTTTGTAAAGAAAAAGGATGGATTTAGGTAGCAAGACTGGTGGGGAGGGTGTGATAAATAATTAACCAGCTGGGATGGGGAAACGGATTGTTAACATGGTAAAATAATGTGGGTAAATATGAAATGTAAAATGTCACCGGCGTGGAAGTGGCATTGCAACTTTGACCAGCGAGCTGCCGAGCTGCAACCTCTGTCTGCATCCAGAGCCTGCTTTAGGCTTTATGGTCATATATATATATACACACACATATATATAATATCTGAAAAATATCTGTGTATGCGAACATATGTTCGTATGTTTGGCGGCATCATCTCAAGGTTGCTTTGCTCGGGCTAAAATAGTTTCCCACATTGCTGAAATCAGAAGCCTTCATTTAACTTTACAAGCCTAGTAAAATACAGTGCACCACTGATCCGGCTTTGTTACAGAATGCCTCAAACTTGTGATGGTTAAATAGTTTAATAAAACTTACATTAGCTTTCTTTGATTTTTATAGCCTTGAATTTATTGCCTGTGGAAAAGAAAGGGGGCAAAAAAAAGGAATCCCACGCGTTTCCAGTCACCGTGCCCCCCCCCCCCATGTGTGTGCCCACGGTGCGGATGCGTGTGGAACAACCTCCCCCCTCGCTTGATTTTCCGTGTGCTTTCCAAAACCAGACGGTTTGGGGGTTTCCCTCGCACGCAAGTCCGTGACTGAGGCGGACTGAGCTCGGTGCGGGTCCCAGCCTGGAGGGTGCGGGGTGGCGGGGGCAGCTTTACCCGGTTATGATGATAAATCCGTTTATTGCAAGACGGTCCGATGGCATCGTAAATGTTGGTTAAGGAAAAGGTGCTCTCTCTGATTACGGCAAAAGTGTTTCTCTGGACTTCAGCTGTAACAGTCCGGATCAATTTGCCTCCTTTAATCTATCACCCCTCCGCCCTTCTCCCTCTCACCCCAGCACTGAAGGGTATTTAAAGTGAAGGGCAAAGAGATTCCTAGGAATAATAAATCATCGCGAATCCTTCCTGATGTGTATAGAGATGGAAGTCTATATTAACAGGCTAATAATAACATTGAGGGGTGCTAATAGCCGCCTGAAATGAAGGAAAAATGTAATCCGCATTTCTTTCCCTGTGAGTGTCCGTGCGTGTGTGTCCCTGTGTCCGCTCCTACACAAAACTGAGGTGGGAAATTACTGCCAGAGGTGGTTTATGAATACGGGGAAATGATGAAGGCACTTAAAAACCTACACTCAAAGCCTTAGATTTTCCCTTATCCCTATAAGCGGTGCTTTGCCGCAAGCTGCAGCCTGATGGAAGGACCCGTTTCCCCACATTCAGGACCAGAGCTCCCAGAAATGAGGCGCTGTTAGGAAGCTGTCCGTTTTCATTAAAAAAAGGTAATAATGACAATAATAATCGAGAGGGTCGGGATGATGGACAAGGAGAGCTGGAGCTTAATGCCGGAGGTCAGTTTACTTTGAATTTTTGCCTCCCTCAGGGTACCAAGAGCTCCCCAAGCAGCTCAGAATCCTCCCTGGGCTGGACAAGCAGGCTCAGTCTGCAAGCTCCAGCCAAGGTGAGGTGGGAGCAGGGCTTGGGGAGCCCCTCCAGCCATGGGCTCTGATCTTGCTATGCCAGCCGCGGGCAAATGTCACCAGGTGAGTACTCCCCACCGCCCTGCCAGATCTCCTCTCCTTTCCAGGGGTTTAATCCAAAGTAACTCCACTTCACCCCAGTCGTGTTTAAATCGGTGAAGGCAGAGAAATCCCCTACCAGGGGCAGCGTGGGGCAGGGTCGCTCCATTCCAGTGCATCTCACACGAGCAGGGGCTGTGCGAAACGAGTTGGGAATTTCCTTCTGCTTCCAGCTTTTCACATCTCTATCTCCTTGTATTTTTTATTCCCTCCTAACCCTTCTTTTAACTTCCTTAAGAGTTGGGGAGGTTTTCAAATGAAAAGACCCTGTGCCAGCAGATGTGAAATACGAGCCGGTTGCTCACATTGTCATATTTCTCGGCTTTATTGCCTTTCAGGAATGATTTTTTAAAAATCAGACGATTTCACAAGAGATTCGGAGGGGCTGTGCAAATGTTCTGAGAGCCTGGGAAAGGCAAGGGCTGATTTAAGTGTGTTGTGGAGATTAAACTCGCTTGGCACATGGAAATGTGTTTATACAACTGATGGATAAACAGCCGTGTTGGTAGCAGGGTGCTGAATAAGTATAGATGAAATTATTGAACGTTAATTGAAGCAAAACACCTGTTCTCTGCTCACGAGATGGATTGGCCATGTCTTACCTGTAATAAATATATTGGTGGAATAAAATCCTGGTGCGCCTCCTATAAATAATGATGAACTATGTCAGCATGAGAGTATATAATTTTCTGTAGTATATGAATTTAAACCAAGAAGACTCTGAGGAGTGTGGCTGTGAGGCAGAACACACGGGTTTTCAGATCCCCAGTGAATGGAAACCTCACAAGATCTGCAAAATCCATTTGCTTTTGCTCCTCTGGAGGTTTCTGTTTGTTCAGTGGTTTATTTTTAAGACATATCCCCATAGTTCATCTCTCTGTAGCCTTTTCTGAGAGAGGCTTAAGGCAAACGACAGCTTCATCCCATGTCTGTCTGCATGGAGAGACCGTGTTGTGTAGCGCTGCCTGCTCCGGCTGACATTATGTAAGCATTTATATTTTAATGCCTCGAATAGAGCCCATCAGAAATTACATGAAAAGCTCTTGTGATTGCAAAATAACTTGGGGAAGGAAAAGTCAAGGAGAAAGTGACCTCGGAGCAGAGTCTTGAAGTCTAAATGGATGAATCTTTGGGAGAGAGGAGGCAGGATGTGCGAGCTTTGCTCGGTTTGCAAACTAGATTTAGTTTAGAGATGTGATTGTTGTGAGCTGGTAAAGAGAAGCGGAACTGGAAATAGTTATTGAGGAAAAAAAAAAAAAAAAAGGAAGAAAGTCCGAAGTGGAAACTTTTTCCTGCTTTCAGAATCAGCACCAAGTGTATTTGGCTGTGAGGAAAAACTCAGAGCATTGTCAGCTTGCAATGGAAAGCCACAGGCTTCTGAACTCACACACTGTTTATAAATACTCTTTATTGTTTGTGGAGAGAAGGGATAATTTCCAACCAGTGCTTTGAAACACACAACTGCCAAAATCCATCCTCAGCAAACAACTCTTTGGGTTGGCATTTCTGAAGCTGGAAACAACCAAACAGAAAATATTTGCAAACTATGCAGATTTGAAGCTGGGCAATTGCCACCTTGCTCTGATTTATAAGTTTTGGCATAAGAAAGAGCAGATGATCCATTTCTTACCGGAAACATATTTAAACCACTTTTGGAAGGCGATTGTTAGTATTTATTAGAACAGGCACCTTCTTCCAGCTGATTTTGCCTCCTTACCAGAGCTATGGAGGAGGCGAAGGGGACCTGCGGGTCCTGAGGTACAGAACTGGGGGATCGCCAGGATCTTCACCCTGAGAGGCCTTTCCGGGGTTGGGGTGTAACCTGCAGTACTTGGGGAATATTTACTTCTTCAGCTTAGGTTTGGAAGCCGATAAGGATAAGCTAAGAGAGGATAAAAGCTGAGAGTGAACTTCATGGCTATGGAGAGTCTGGAGACCAGATTCGGAGATAACGCAGCCTTCAAAGGGCTGAGCGTTTATTTCAGGCGATATGAAGCATTCTTAAATTATAATTATAGTAATAATAATGCTAATAACAACAAGAAAATAACCTTTTCTTTTTTTTTCTTTTTTTCTTTTTTTTAGAAGTCAGGGAACAGAAACAAAATCTCACCATAAAGCAAACATCATTTATGAACGATACATTTAGGCAGGTCTAAGAGGTTATGAAAGAAACTTCAGTCACGGACCCCTCCAAACACGCGAAAGCCCGAGGAAAAAAAAAAAATCCCTTCTGAAGAGTAAAACCTATATTTTACATACTTTTTAGTGAAATAAGTTTCTGTAGCCTAAAAGCCGAAGGATCTACCTTTGCCATTTCCTGTGTTAGCTCTCAGTTTGAATGCTGCCGTCTGTTAAAAATCCGTAAGTGGTGAGGAGGGAGGGAAGGGGAGGGGGGGGAATTCCTTGTCTGAAGAGAAGCAAAAACAAGTTACACATGTGGGCAATTTTCCAAGGACCGAAAGTACACTCTGGCTAAAAACCCCAGTTCCAAATGAGGTTTGTAATCTCAGCAGTTAATAAAGCATTTCGATCCCCCGTAAAGTAAAAGCGTATGTGCATCTGAAAAGGGAAGCTGGAGGGAGAGAAAGTTAAAATAAAGTTTGATTGTTGTTCGGGAGCCCACATTCTGGCTACTAGGCTAATTTTCCTCCCTCCCCATCTCGCCTCCCTCCTTGAAATAATATTCAACTCCCACGAAATAGCTGGGCTTCTGCTTCATTCTGCGGATCTTATAGCAGGAGCTGCTGGTTGCAACTGCTGCGGATTCCCTTGGCTCTGCTTTGGGGTCACCACGATGTAGCTGAGCACACACCACCCCCACCCCCCCCCAAAAAAAAATATCCCCCCATTAGTCTGGGAGAAAGGGAAGTAACAGCCCGTGGTGGTGAGAAATCTGTCGCTCCCACCCAAAGAAGAGAAGAGGGTGGAAAAACACAAGAGCAGGTACAAAAATGAAGTTGCTATAGAGCTGTTTCCATAAAACCCGTAGCATAAGCCCCAGTAAAGAGAAAAGGGGGGAGTTTCTTTCGGATAGGTTCTTTCCACACCAATTTTGCTCGTGATTAAAACTCACCCCCAGTGGGGGTAATATCGGACAGGCTGGACCTTGGCTGGGGAGTAACTGGGGAAACTTGGTGCATTCTCTGCAGTTGCTCCTTGTTACAAGCACAGAAATGTGCGCACCAGGCAGTTACTACGCGCAGGGATAATTCTCTTTGGTAGCCATCCCCACACTGCTTCTTCTCCAGGTAAGGTCGCTCTTATCTTTCTAATTTAGAACAGAGGAGAAACAAACCCCTCCAGGGCAGGGGGGACCCCAACGCACCCTACTCCTCCCACTCTTTCCTCTTTTCCTAGAGCCCTTGGGAAATGAGTCCCAATTCCCGTTTTCAGGCAGCAATACCGACCCCCCGGGCCTGATTCTGATCTTTCCTAGCCCCGTGTCCCCCATTCTCCTCCCTGGCCCTTATTTCCTGTCTGTACATGGGTAGGAGGGAGATGGGAATCAGAAGCCCAGACATT